ACCTAAATAAATAAAGAAAGGAAGAAATTCCTTCAATTGCTGACATTCCTCAAAGGTTGGTTAAGACTCAGAACATGTCAGCGACTCAGGTTGATGTAGCTGTTAAAATTTGTAAGAAATAGTGCCCCTTACCTTTTCTATGAGTTCTTTAGCTAAACGAATAAATCAGTTACATCACCAAAAACAACAGAATGAAGGTGAATAGAATTATAGGAAATTTAGGGCAAAGATTTGCCCTGGAAAAAACCAAGCAGCAGAAGCTGACCTAAGGAAAGAGATCAGTAAAACGATATTTGCAGAAATGGAGGTCCTTGGTCAGTTTAATTTGGGGTTCATAGTAACCAAGCTCAACTGCAGTCAGTGAAGCTGTCCTGATAGAGAATTTGGAAATAATCAGAAAGAATGGCTTTGATTTTGACATTGATGAAAGTGCTCTCGTGACCAAAAGGGCTAAATTGATTTCCTTGCCAACTAGTAAAAACTGGACCTTTGGAAGCCAAGATGCAGATGAATGGATCTTCATGCTAAGTGACAGCCCTGGGGTTACGGGGTCACAGGCCGGCCCTCCTGACTCAGGCAGACAGTGGCCTCCAGAGCCCGCCAGAAGTCTGTGATGACCGGAACTGCCTTAAGACGAGATAAAGAAGATTACTGTCCACAGGGGCGAGATGAGATGGACCTCCCCTGGAACTTCCCCCACGGAAGACCGACCACAAGGCGCATTGGCAATCTGGAAGTCGTTTCTCAGAACTGACACTTCTCACTTCCTAGAATTAGAAATTTTATTGCAGACTTTTCTGTTTTTGAAAGACAGGGTCTGAAGTAACCTTTTGTTTTGTTTTGTTTTGTTTTTCTGTTTCAAAATTAACTTGCTACTTTTTTTTTTTTTTGGTACCAGAGATGGAACTCGGGACCTTGCACTTGCAAGGCAGGTGCCGGAACCACTGAGCTAAATCCCTGGCTCAAACCTGCTACTTTTAAAAAAATGTACCTGATCAATTTAAAAATGATCTTAAGGCCAGGGATATAGTTCATTGATGTCACCGCCTGCCTCACAAGGGCAAGGAAGGTCCTGAGTTTGATTCCCGGTACCACACACACACACAAAAAATCTTAAACTGGATGCAGTGGCTTGTGCCTGTTGGAAGACTGAGGCAGGAGGATCAGTTGAGCCCATGAATTTCAGACCAGCTGGGACAACATAGTGAGACTCCCACCTCAAAAAAAGAAAAGAGGCCAAGGATTTAGCTCAGTGGTTCTGCTGCCTGCTTCGAAAGTGTAAGGTCCCGAGTTCAATCCCCCATACCAATTAAAAAAAAGAAAAGAAAAGAAAGAAAAGATCTTAAGAATTTTTTCAGACCATATGAAGCATTTCTTGGAACAGTTCTTGTTCTGTATTTGAATGTGTGTGTGTGTGTGTGTGTGTGTGTGCATGTGTGTGTCTGTGTGTGTGTACAGGTAAGAACATTTTAAAAATAAGAGCACTTTGGAAATTACCCAGGCCTCTCCTCTGGATGGAAGTATTTTATTCTGCAACTTTCAGTTCTCAATGATAAATTCATATTGGTTTAATTTCCTAAATGTGAAAATTATGGTCCTTTTGGGTTAGTCCTTATCAACCCTGATGCATACTAAATTTTAGAAAGGAATAATAAAATAATCTAAGAGGGAGGGCCAGGGATTTAGCTCAGTGGTTCCGCCACCTGCCTCGCAAGTGCAAGGTCCTGAGTTCGATCTCCGGTACCAAAAACAAACAAACAAAAAAAACAAAAAATCTAAGAGGGTTTCTTGGCTCAGCTGGAGGAAGTGGTTGGTCGGGGCTGTGGTCAGTATTGTTAAGTGTTCCCCTGGAAGCTAGGGTAGTGAGTACTGTTCTAATCAGGAGAGAAGATTCTGGCTTTTCTGTAACTTCACGCTGTAATTGGGTTTCCTTGGGGTGTGAACTGTAGGACTCTGCTCTCATTTGAACTGTGGGAAAAATGGAAGTAAAAAGCACCCTAGGGGACTCCAAGCGGTGGCTGGGTACAGGGACCATAAGTGCAGGCAACCCCACTGGCCACCCCAGCCCCTGTGCGGGGAGCGCGGGCTTCCCAAGGGTGGAAGTCCTCAGCTGTCAGCTAACAGTAAAGTGACAGCTGCTGTCATTCATGGCGTCAAGCTCTGTGCTGATGTGAGGGCAGCGGCTGCAGGACGCCATTTAATATCCACAAGAACCCTGCAAACTGGGAACTGTGGAGGGCGTGATAATGGTTCTCCAAAGGTGGCTGTGTCCTAATGCCCAGAACGTGTGAATATGTCACTTTATATGGCAAAAGGGACTCCACAGATGTGACTGAGCTATGGGCCTTAGGGTGGGGAGATTGACCTCTACTGTCTGGTGGGCCCACTCTCGTCATGGAAGTTCATCAAAGTGGAGAAGCGTCTGGCCTCTAAAGCTGAAGAGCAAGGAGACGGTTCTCCCCCGAGCCTCCAGAAGGAACCAGCACTGTTAAGATTCATGGAATTGTAAGATCATAAATGTGTGTTGCTTCAAGCCAAAAATAAAAAATAAAAATACCACAAAAAACAAAAACATAAAACAAACCAAAACAAGACCATTCCAGGTTGACTTGGGGGAAACTGAAGCCTGCAAAACCTTTTTTTTCTTCCCACTGTTTTTTTTCCGCTGTACTTGAGATTGAATCCAGGGCCTTCACACTGAGCTACATCCGTGGCTGTTAATCTTTTTGTTGTTGTTTTTGTTTTTTCAGACAGGGTCTCACTATGTGGTTCAGGCTGGCCTGAAAACTCACTGTGTAACCCAGGCTGGCCTTGAACTCTCGGTGCTCCTCCTGCCTCTGCTTCCATTTCTGATGGATCAATGTTCAGGGTCCCCCTTTAACTGTGTTTCTTTTCTTTTTTTTTTTTGTTTTTGGTGCCAGGGATCGAACTCAGGTCCTTGCACTTGTGCAGCAGGTGGCAAAACCACTGAGCTAAATCCCTGGCAACTGTATTTCATTTTTAAAATTTGTTTTTCTCAAAAAATCCTGCCAGTCCCTCTGCACAAATAACCACACACTTGGTTAGTTATCCCACAAACAAGTATCCAGTCCCACTGTGCTGTGGATCTCGGGCACACAGTGGGGAGCTCAACAGCTCCATCCCCATGGGGACACATAAGGCAGTCAGACCTGTGGTGTGGTGACACTGAGCAGGCCCGGGGTGTGCACCCCACACAACCTGGAGAGGCCCTGGAGGGCTTCCCGGAGGCAGAGGCAGCTGGGCCAAGACTCCACAAATAAGTGAGCTGCAGCTGGCCTGGCACAGAGGGAAGAGCACATGCAAAGGCCTGGAGACAAGCAGGTCCTGGGGGCATTTAAGTTTGGGGGGCTGGGGAGAGGACAGAGAGGTGGGCAGGAGGGGTGAGCAGAAGGGAGAACTCTAGGCTTTTGTGCAGCGTAGTCTAGGGGTCCTTTTTTTTTTTTTTGGTTTGGGGATCAAACTTGGGACCTTGCAGTTTCAAAGCAGGCGGCGGAACCACTGAGCTAAATCCCTGGCCTGGGGTCCACTTTTTTATAGGTACAGAACCTAGAGTCATCTCACAGAGCTACATCCCAAGCCCTTTTTATTTTGGGACAGGCTCTTGCTAAATCACGAAGTTGCCCAGCGTGGATTAAAACTTGTGATCCCCCTGCCTCAGCCTCCCAGAGTGCTGGCGTCACAGGCGTGTGCCACTGTTCCAGGTGACAGGACAAGCAAGTTCAGTGTCAGGACCACCGAAGTTTCAACCTCTGGAGGTCTCACAGAACGGCTTGTGATATCAGAGGTGGGCAGTTGTCCCTGAGGGTGGCTGACCCTGAGGCATGCAGGGTGAGGGTGGGGAAGGGTGCTTATCCCCCCACGCCATGTTGGTGGCCCGGCAGCTTCACCTACCCAGGGCAGTCCCACTGGGTCAGACATGTGACAGCTCCCACCAATACAAGGTGGTAGAAATGGCCCCAGGACTTCTGATTTCCGGCTTTGCATTCCTTACATCTTCCATCCCCTCTCCATTTTTTTTCAAGACAGTCTCTCTATGTAGCCTAGGCTGGCCTCAAACTCACAGCGATCCTCCTGCCCCAGCTTCCTGAGTGTTGGGATGACAGGTGTGTGCCACCATGCCTGGCTTTCCATTTCCTTTTGGAAACTTCTGCCATGAATAAGATGATTTGTCCAAGACAGGCATGCTGGGGGAGGCCCAGGCAGTGTGCCAGGACCAGTGCTGCCTCGAGCTTCCTGGGCCAGACTTCAGGGACCCAGGTCCATGTCCCTCACCCACAGGCCCCCGGGGCACAACAAACCAGTACTGTGGTTGTTTGCTTGCTTGTTTGTTTTGCTTTTGGTACCAGGGATGGAACTTGGGACCTTGGGCTTGTGAGGCAGGTGGCAGGCAAAACCACTGAGCTAAATCCCCTGCTTGTGGTTTTGTTTTATTTTCTCGTGGTGCTGGGAATAGAACCCAGCACCTCCTGCATGCTAAGCACCTGCTGTGGCACTGAGCTGCACCCCAGCCCCTACAATTCCATTTTGGGGTGATTTGTTAGGGAGCAATTAATCCCTTGTGTGGGCAGCTCTGTGCACCATGGTCCGGATTATTGTTGTTGTTATTGTTATTATTTTTTATTTGAAGTAGTGGGGATTGAACCCAGGACCTCTGTGCTGAGTGACACCCAATCTTTTATTCTTTAAAAACAGAATCTTGGGCCGGGGGTTTAGTTCAGTGGTTCTGGTGCCTGCCTTGCAAGCACAAGGTGCCGAGTTTGATCCTCGGTACCAAAAAAAAAAAATTAAAAACAGAATCTTGCTAAGTTGCCCAGGGTGGGCCAGAACTTGAAATCTTCCTGTCTCAGCCTCCCAGAGTGCTGGGATGACAGATGTGCACCACTCCCCAAGACAGGACTGATTTATTTAAGGACATTCACTGTTTCCCCAGACCAGACCAGATGCTCCCCTGGTAGCAACAGGAACGCCCTGGGTCACTGTTCTATGATGTGCATTGTCCCTCACATTTTAATATCTCTAAAAGTGCTTGGATCTTAACAATGGTACAGTCAACCACAGACAACTTGTGAAAACATCTGATCCTTTCTGGAAAGATCCAGCTTGTCCGACTGTTAGCACATCTGCTTCAGGAATCTCAGAAATGATCATTACAATGCCAACAGCAAACATCGTGACAAACTGGTGTCAGGTGCAAAACATAGACACGACATTTTCACTGATTATTCGGGACAAGAATAAAAATATGAATAACGGATAATAACCAAGACACAACTGGCCGCAGGGGCGCAGGTGGCTTCCTAGAATGTGCTCAGAGAGGGGCGGTGACTTCCCCCAGGACGCACAACCTGCGCGCGCCCAGCTCCCCGTTCCCGGGCCTTGGAGACCTGGCAAGGGCTGGGTGGGCGCACAGGCGGTGCAACTCGGCCAGGGGGGTGCCGGGGTCTGAGGGTGCAGATCCACGGGGCCGACGCTGGTGTTTTGGGGCACAGGGGCACACGCGGCGGAAGGCCTGGCGAAAGTGGGAGCCCAAGAAGGCGTAGAGCAGCGGGTTCAGCGCGGAGTTGCTGTAGGACATGCAGTGCGCCCAGGTCTTGAGTGCATACGCCGTGTAGCTGCGCGGGTGCCACGCGCCGGCGGGGCCTAGGGCCTGCAGCACCAGGAACAGCTGGATGGGGCCCCAGCAGGCGGCGAAGAGCAGGACCACGGCCGCCACCAGCCGAGACACCTTGGCACGCACGGCGCTGGCTCGCTGGGCCAGCAGCCGACCCTGGGTATGGAGGAGCGGGTTAGAGGGAAGGGCGGAGTCGGCCCCTCCTGTAGCGGGCCACCCCCCAACACCCCACGCTTCCAACTTCTGCGGCGCCCTGCCAGCTGCAAACCTGGAAGGTGCAGTCGGTGGGCGAAGGGCGCACGGCGGCGCGGCCGAGGTGGCGCAGCATGGCCCCGTAGCAGGCACAGGTGGCGACGAGCGGCAGCAGGTACAGCGCGAGCAGGTTGTAGAGGGCAAAGGCACGCTCCAGGGCGAGGCTGGGGAAGGCCTCGCTGCAGTAGGTCCGCGGCCCCGGGGAGAGGCGGTGCAGGGCGAGCACCGGGGCAGAAACGGCGGCCGAGCCTGGGCCGGGCCAGCGTCAGGATGAAGACGTAGCGTCAGGACAGCGCACAGCGCGCCTAGGCTTTCCACGGCTGCGTTCACTGCGCGCCCGCTAAGCGCCACGCGCCTCTCTATCCCCCACACTGAGGATGGAACCCAGAGTCTTTGCATTGAGCTACATTTCCACCCCGTTTATTGTTTTTTATTTTGAAACAGGGTCTCCCTAAGTTGTCCAGATTGGGTTCCAACTTGAGATCCTCCTGCCTCACCTTCCCAGAGTCCTAGGATGACAGGGCTCCCACGCTTCCCTCTTTGGTCCCTGGGTGATCCTCCGTAGGGAAACCTCACGCACCCATTTTCCAGATGCCCGCCTGAGGCCAGGGCACGCAGGCCTGTTCCCCAGTCCTCCCGCTGCCCCCTGAGCTGCACTCACCCACCCAGATGCCCAAGCTGACGGCCAGCGCGAGGCGCGGCGTGCGGCGGTGCAGGGCGCGCAGCGGGAACACGGTCACGTACCAGCGGTCCACGCTCATGGCAGTCAGGGTGGCGCACGTGGCCTGCACAGAGACCTGGAAAGGCGGGGAGCCGGCGTGTGCTGTGTCCGTGTGCCCCCAGCAGTCGCACAACTCAGGAACACACAGCCACGTCGGGGGAGGGAATGTGGTCTCTGCTTACGGGCACCTCCGGCTACCGACCCACCACCGCCGCGCGCGTATCTCCATGGAAACTCAGACCCCGCCCCGTCCAGACCCCGCCCCCACCTCCTCCCATGCTCACACCCAGCCCCCAGCTGCCTTCCTCCTTGGATCCGTGAGCCCAGGGCGCGCACCTGCTGAATGTAGTTGACAAACTTGCACATGAAGTCGCCCAGCACCCAGGCGGGCAGCGGGTACAGCAGGGCCGTGAAGGGGACGCAACACACCAGGAAGATCACGTCGGTGGCCGCCAGGTTAGCTGCAAGTGTGGAGGGGGAGGTGGATGTGGGTCCAGCCTCCCTGGCCCAGGCTCGACCCAGTGAGTGACCCCACACCCACAGCCAGAGAAGCGGGGGCATCCTCCACTCAACAGCACGGAATTCCTGCGCATTCTGATAGAACTGCCCTCCGCTTCAGGGGTGCCAGGGCGGAACCCTGGGCTCCTGCACTCTGAACAAGCGCTCACCACCGAACTGCACCCCCAGCCCATGGAGCACTCTGCTCGACCCTGAGCCTCAGTTTCCTCCTTCCCAAACTGAGGACAGCCATCCCCAGCCCTTTTTAAAGTTTTTATTCTGAGACAAGGTTTCCCTAAGTTGCCAAGGCTGGGCTCAAACTCGCGATCCTCTTGCCCTCGCCTTCCAGAGCACTGGGATGATAGGCGTGCGCCACCTTGCTGGGTTCTCGGCTTCTATCAAATGCGGCCGGCAGCTGAGCGCCAACGCAGGAGATTGCGCTCTAGTCTAAGGCACAGGGAGGAGACAGGGCGCCCTGCAGGAGAGAGACTTGGGTCTGGGGGAGCCCCGGTCCCCTTGCCCTCGCTGCGCCCGGCACTCACCGATATAGAAGTTGCTCACCGTCCGCATCTGCTTGTGGCGGCAGATGACAAAGATAACCAGCGAGTTCCCGGCCAACCCGACCAACATCAGCGTAGCGAAGAACAGAGGCACCAGCCAGGCGTCCAGCAGCAGCGGCGCGGGCCCCGGGCCATCCGAGCCGTTGGCGCCGCAGCCCGGGCAGCCCGACGCGTTGGCGAGCGCCGACCAGGACGCGTTGAGCCCCGGCGTGGCCGCGGCACGCATGACCTCGCCGCTCTCCTCCTCCTCCTGCACGCTGCCTGCCAGTATTGAGTCCCGGGACGGCCGAGGGGACCGCGGGGGATGCGCGCGCCCCGTACCGGCCAGGGTACTGGGCGGCGCGGCTGGGCTCGGGGGCTCCTCTGACCGAGCGGAACGTCCCGCGTTTATACTGCGTGCCCCGCCTTTCCCCGCCTTCGGGCGGCTGCGCTGCTCGCACGCCCCCCTTCTGCCCCCGTGTGCACCGCCACGGGGAGGCCGCAGGCGGGGAGAAGAGGCTGAAGAGAGGGACTGGGCCGCGCGACCCGGCCTTCATGGAAAGCGCTCGGGAGGGTCCGGACCGTTTGTCCCAGGACCCGGGGAGCGGTGGACGGTTCTGGGTGGGTGAGGGACAGCCCAGATCTAGCTTTTTATTTTTTTGGTGGTGCCGGGACGGAAGTTGGGGTGTCGTGGAGGCTAGGCGAAGCTCCCCACTGAGCTCCACTCCCCCCAGCCCTTTTTATTTTATTTTGAGAGAAGGTCTCCCTACGTTGTCCAGGCTGGCCTCAAACTTTGGATCCTCCTGCCTCAGCCTTTCCAGTAGCTTTGATTGCACGTGTGCACCGCCGAACCCAGCTCAAATCTGGCTGGTTTCTGCCTGAACGTGGAAATCGGCGCCCTGTGGAGAGTCTGGCTGAGATCTACAGAGCACATGGGTGATTCTCAGCCCTGGCTGCAGAACCAGATGGAAGGTGATTCAGAGAGGGGCAACCTCAACCCCACAATCCAGCACCTGGAAGTATAGCCCAGAGAGTCACCCTGAAGAGACCTGCCGGAGTCTGTCCTTGACTACAAAGTATTCAGGCCACTGTGGATACTATGCGGCAGAGAAAAAGAGGCTGTCACTCAATAAGAAAAACTAAAAGAAGCAGGGCATAGTGGCACAGGCCTGGGGGAGGTTGGAGCTCAGCTGGGCTACATAAGGACACCCTGACTCAAAATGAAAATAAAAAAGCTGGGTGTGGTGGTACACATGTGTAATTCCAGCACTTGAGAGGTGGAGGCAGGCAGATCGCTGTGAGTTCGAGCCCAGCCTAGGCTACACAGTGAGTTCAAGGCCAGCCTGAATTACATAGCGAGACCCTGTCTCAAAAAACCAAAAAGGGGGGGGGGGGCTGGGGCTGGAGCTCAGTGTGAAGGCCCTGGTTTCAGTCCCCAATAGTGTAAATATATGCATACATAAATATATAATAAGAAATTAGAAAAGCAAGAGGCCAGCATTGTGCTCTGGAATTAAGCCCTGGCCTTTTTCGTGTACATTTACTGAGCTCTCCTGACCCGGCTCTGGGAACCAAACATCCCCACCAGCACTTCCTATCCCTGCCGCAAGGGGGCGCTCTCTCCCCCATTTCTGTCATTATTGATTTCTTTCTCTTCACATTTATCTACAGAAGTCTCACAGTCTTGTGCTCTCCTGAGTCTGTTACCAGCTTCTCTTCTTCCCCTCTCCTTGCTCTTTATTTGCTAAACCACTGTTTGTTGTTTTGTTTTGGTTTTTGTCCTGCACTATCTCCACCAGGCAAAATCTGGCAAGTTGTTTAACTCATCTCTTCTGATTCACGCACTTCTTGTGGGCTGAGGGGGATTTAAGATTCTACAGCAAGCCTGGCATGGTGGCACACGCCTGTCATCATAGGACTCTGAAGGCCGCGAGTTCGAGGCCAGCCTGAACTACATACCAAGTCCCTGTCTCAAAACCCTAAAACCAACCAACAAACAATACCAAACTCAGGGCACCAGCTCACCCGGGGTTCTCTTTCCCCGGTTCTTTGCACAGCCTGTTCCTCTGCTGACTCCCTTCCCGCCCTATCGGGCAGCCCCTTCCAGAGGAGATGAGCCTGACTGCCCAGGTACCCGCGCCCCCCACTGGGGGAGGGACCTCCCTTGAGTCACTGCTGAGTGTCTCACGCATATTTGTTGAATGAATAATAAATGGAGAAGGGCGGAAAGGGGGTGGGGTAATGGTATCCTGGATGTTTATTTAATTATTTGGCACCGGGGATCTAACTTGGGGCCTTGTGCTTGCGAGGCAGGCGGCGGAACCACTGAGCTAAATCCCCGGCCCTATTTATTTTTGAGACAGGGTTTTGCTACATAGTTCAGGCTGGCCTTAAACTCACTATGTAGCTCAAACTCGCACCGAGCCTCCTGCCTCAGCCTCCCTCCCGAGTGCTGGGATGTCAGGCGTGAGCCACCCCGCCTGGCATGTCCTGGTTTCCGGGACCAGGAAACTGAGCTGAGCTCTGGGTGCTCTTTACCCCTGGGTGCGGGAAAGCTGCCCCGCCGCGTGGGTGTGGAGGTCGCCCCGCCCGGACCTCGCTGCCCCGGGCCCCGCAGTCTCGGGATCCGGGCCCCAGCTGTCCCCGCCCCGCGCAGGCTCCGCCCCCTCCGTCACTTCCTGCCGGCGCTGCTGGCCCGCGGGCGCGGAGCCGCGGCCCAGCCATGGTCGCGCTGGAGAACTCGGAGGGCGGCGCGGAGGAGGCAGCGGGGGGCACCCCGGGCGCGCGGCGGAGGCTGTGAGCGCGGCGGGAGGGCGGGCGCGGGGAGCGCGTCCCTCCTTCTCCCTCCGCCCGGGCCCGGACCCCCGTCTCCCTCCTTCCCGGGCTCGGGCGCCCCTCTTCCTTCCCTCTTCGACCCTCTCTGTCCTCTCCCCTCCCTGGTCCCCTTCCTCCTCCCTGCGCCCCCCAGACTTGGGGGCATTTTCCTGGCTCTCGGGAACCCCCCGGAAATGCCCCACAGCGATTTACTTCTCCGTCTCTGAGACCATCTGTGCCTGCTGAGTCTGCGCCTGTCTGTACCTGGGAGCGGTGGGCAGCCCCCAATCTGCCCCTGCCTTGGCTTTGCAGCCGCGGCTCATTTGGGCCGGTCCCCTGCGCCCCACAAGTGCTGGGGCTGGCCGCTCCTGCGTCCTGGTCCGCACTCCGCTTGCCTTCTGGGTGGGATGCCAGATTTAGTGGAGAGAGGTCTTCACCCCCGCGCCACAGAGCCGCACTGTCCCGAGTGGACGGAGTTGGGGCTCAGGGGCTCTGACGGGGTTGGTGCAGCGTGGGGTCCCCACTGTGCCCGGAGATGACACGTGTGGGGGACGAGGAGTCGGCCTGGGGTCCATTTCTGCCTTCTACAGAGGGGGCTGTGGGATCAGGGGCAGTTGTTGGGTCCACTGCCTCAGTTTCCCGTCTGTAAATGAGATTTCATTAGTGGCTGCTTTCGAATAGCTGTGACCAGGGACATTTATTGTTCTTATTTTTTCCATGCTAGGAGTGGAACCCAAGGTTTTCATGCTGAGCTACATCCCCACCCCTTTTTAATTGATTGAATTGAATTTTTTGAGACAGGGTCTCACTAAATCACTAAATTACCAAGACTGGTCTTGAACTTGCAGTCCTCCTGCCTCAGCCTCCCAGAGTGCTGGGATGACAGGTGTGTGCCACCTTGTCCAGCTGGGAACATCCATTCTTAGTTGTTTTGTTTTGGCTTTTATGAGACAGGGGCTTGCTATGTAGCTTAGGCTGGCCTCGAACTCACTAAGTAGCCCAGGCTGGTCTCCAGCTGTGGCAATCCTCCTGCCTCGGCTTCCGGAATGCAAAGATTACAGGTGTGCACCACCACACCCTGCTCATTCTTAGTTGTTTTTGATGACTCTGGTATGTCGTATTACTTTAGTTACTTTCCTATTACTTAAATGTGGTGTCGTCATCACATTCTTTTTATTAGTTAATGTTTTATTAGTAGGTTTGTTATTACTCAAATACCAAGTCAGGGTCTTGTTAAATTACTACCCTGGCCCAGGCTTGGCTGGAACTTGAGAGATCCTCCTGCCTCAGCCTCCGGGTGTGGGAGAAGACAGGTGTTCACCCTCCGGCCCAGTTCAGATCTGTCTGAAAGGCAGGTGTAGACACTAGGTGTGGAAGTGTGGGCGGTCTCTGGTAATGGTTTCCTCCTTACTGCGCTATCCTTGGTATTCCCAGCAGCTGGCTCCCTCCTCTGCCTCGGGGTGGAGGTGGGGATTTCTGTGTCCCCGTCTCCCACACCTGCTGAGTCAAGGCCACCCTGTTTCCTGCTGGGGAAAGGGTTCCACTGTTGTCCGGGGGTAGGAGGGTGTGTTCTTTTCTTTTTTCAGGTACTGGGGATTGAACCCAGGGCCTTCACCCTGAGCTCCACCCCAGCCCTTTTAAAAAAAATTTTATCCCGTTTCCCTCCTCAAGCCCCCTCCCCTCCTGTGTACAAAAGCTTTGTTCCCATTTTTTTCTTCTATTTTCAGTTTTTTTCTTGACTCTTCTTTTCCCCAGACCTTTCTGAAATATTTTATTTTGAGACAGAGTCTAAGTCACTTAGCAAGGGTGGCCCAGGGTGGCCTTGAACTTTGGACCTTCCTGCCTCAGCCTCCCAGGGTGCGTGCCACCACACCAGGCTGGAAAGTGTTTTCTTGCCCTGGGCAGTGGCTGGCAGAGGATTCCATCTCTTAAACCCACGGGGGCAGAGACGGGCTAGACAGGACCTGTTTTCCTCACACACAGCCCCCGTGATTCAGGCCCATTCACCCCTTGTCCTATGCCCTTTCTCTGGGTGCCGGAACTCTATGGTGTCTGCATCTCCGGACCCCTGCCTGCTCCAGGCAGCTTCAGACACCCTCCCCACCTCCTGTTTTCCTGTGGTCTCCTTAAATGGTATGGAGAGCAATGTAAGCAGAAGTTTTATTATTCAGTCAACACGATAGATGGTGAGGCTGCAGGCTGTGTGGCTGGGGATCTGGTAGTGACCAGTGGAGCCAGGCCTGCCTCAGCAGTAAACAAGTCAGTAGCTCAGCTGGTTCCGGTGCCAACCGCAAAGCAGGAAGAAGAAAGACTGGAGCCGCGGGGGGGTGGGGGGGGCCGCTGCCGGGAGGCGACAATGGGACAGACACCAAATGAGCTGAGGAAGGTGCTGGGCAGAGGGTTAGGCCTTTGGCACCCTCGGGGGACGCCTGCTGGGTGTCATCTAAGGGCTGACGGAATCCAGGCGACTCTAGTTCAAGGCCGGCGCAGGTTCACGCCCGCGCATGCGTGGCAAAGGCCTGCTTCCAGGGCTGGCTGTAAAACGGGGTGCGGCCTGGGCCTCAGATGTGGATTCTTCTTATCAGCCCCATCCAGGTGCTGGGTGTAGGGTTGGAGTTCGCTGGAGCAGCAGGGCAGCCCAGAAATGCTGGCCTGGGGGCTAGTGCCCAGAGTTCCTGGAGTGCCCCGTGGATGCCACTGTGCCGGAGACTTGAATTGCAGTGCCCACCCCACAGCTCTGGGGCCCTGGGCAGTGACTTTGCAACTGGGTTTACTGACCTGTGACATCAACAGAACAGTGTTTGACTCCTCGAGGGCCAGTGTAGGTGACAGGGAATGAGCCCAACATGGAGGAAAGGCCCAGTGTAGGGAATCGCTGTGATCAGGAGCGGTGAGTGTGAGGGGTGAGCTCCCCATGGTAGGAGGAAAGCAAGCAGAGTGAGCCTTTTTTTATTTTGAGAGAGGGTCTTTCTAAGTTGCCCAGGCCAGACTTGGACTTGGGATCCTCCTGCCTCAGTCTCCCACAGTGTTCAGATCACAGGTGTGCTGTACCATATCTGGCCAAAAAATACAGAAATTTAGCGCTGGGGTCTGTTTACACATTTGCAGACTCTGCATGTTGGGCTCATATACCTGACCCTTCTGTGTATCTCACCTCAAGGGCCCTGGAATTTTTATGTTTCCTAGTCTTCTACAGGGAGACCCAGAGTGCATCTGTCTTTAATTTGTGCCTTGGACACTGAATGCTAGCAAAGTTTGGGTGGAATTTTCTGCTCTGTCTTGGAATCATGGAATTTTTTTGAGAACTGATTGGGCAGTTACTTTTATTTTTTAATTTTTTTCAATACTAGGGATTGAACCCAGGGGCTCTCTACCACTGAGCCATGTCCCAGCCCCTTTTTATTTTTTTAAATTTTGAGACAAGGTCTCTGTAAGTATCCCAGGCTGGGCTCCAACTTGGGATCCTCCTGGCTCAGTCTGCTGTGTAGCTTTGGAATGACCTGGTGTGACCCACCATGCCAGGCTTTCAGCTAGGTGGGTTTCCAAGTCTGGGGACTCCCTGCCCTGCTGTACTTTCTCCTTCCTGGGAAGTTTCCCCGTCCAAGAGCCCCTTGCAGACCCTGGGTGGCCACTATGCCCGAAGTACCTGCCTGCCTGTCCCTTGACAAGTGGCCTAGCCCTCGGTGCCCGGTGGGAGGCTGCTAATCCATGTCCACATTAGCGCCAGCTGCAGGAAGGGGCCATTAGTTTAGGATTAGCTTAGTGCTCTGAGGCTCCTGGGCATCTTTAGGGGGAATGGGGACATGAGACTGGGGGGACTGGCGTGGCCTTCAGCTTCCTGCTGCCGTGGTTGGGGTGGGGCCCATTCAGTGTCCAGGCTCTTGGTTCTCTGATGTCCCGAGGAGCTAGGGTTCGAGTCCTAACAGCAGCTGTGGGCTTCAGGCACTTGAGACTGAAGTCTAGATGGCCTGGGGCAAGGGGGCCATGGCTTTTTCTGTGTGACTCTGGGCACGAGCCTTCCTGTCCCCACCCCTGGACTCACCAGTCTGTCATCTCTTATGTCTGGTTCCTGGGTGCCGGGAGGAGGACACACAGTGAGATTTGAGGGTCCTGAGGCTCCACACGGGAGGGGGCTCCAGCTGTAGTCTGATTCCGCCCAGGACCTCCGCTTGTCTTGGCCCACAGGCCCCTTCAGGGATACCTGCCTGCCCTAGCCACCTCCCAAGTGAAGAGGTTCTCAGCTTCCAGACGGAAGCAGCACTTCATCAACCAGGCAGTGCGAAACTCAGACCTGGTCCCCAGGGCCAAGGGTCGGAAGAGCCTCCAGCGGCTGGAGAACAGTAAGCAGGGTGTGGTGGGGGGCACTCCTCAGATGATAGTGGTGTGCATGTTGGTACTGGGTCGGGGAGCAGGAAGCAGAACCAGACAGACTTCCCCCCCTAGATCAGAGCTGAGCCAGAGGCTTGTCTGGGGATTGGAGCTGGGGCTTTAAAGATGTATAGGAGTTCAACAAAGCAGGGAGAAACAGGTGGAACAGAGGAGGCTGCACAGCTTCCACCTATTTTTATCCAGCCCAGTACCTCCTGACCCTGCTGGAGACAGATGGGGGCGCGCCCAGTCTGGAGGATGGGGACCTAACACCTGCTGCGGCGCCAGGCATCTTCGCAGAGGCTTGCAGCAATGCCACCTACATGGAGGTGAGGCCATTCACTCTGGTGGCTGCACCGGGTAGGGGCATGGGTCTGATTCCAACTCATCTCTGGGAGCTCCCGCGCCCGGTTCCTGTGCTCACTGCGCTGGAGTAAAGAGCCCACAGAGGAGTGGGACCCACCTTAGGGGTCCCCAGTACCCCCTGCCTGTCTGGTGGGCAGAGGTCTCTGTGGAGTACTCCCGCGTACTTGGTAGCCTCCTACGCCCATTTGCCACTCCAAAGGGGGAAACAGAGGCCGAGACCTGCGGTCACTGTCTCCCTCTCTTCCAGGTGTGGAACGACTTCATGAACCGCTCAGGGGAGGAGCAGGAGCGGGTGCTCCGCTACCTGGAAGACAAGGTTCAGAGCAAGGCCCGTAGGAGGGGGCCTGGCCGCGGGGAGGACGGCAGGAGAGGTGGGCCTGTGGGTGGGGCCTGTGGTGGGAGGGGCCAGGGTGTAGACGCTATGATTGGTGGGTGGGTCCTGGCGCTGGTAGGGTCCTTGATGTAAATAAGGGGTGTGGCTCGGGTGGGAGGAGTCTTGGGTGGGGCCGGAGTATTGGTAAGGGTATCTTTGGGGGTGGGTGGGGCTCGGGTGGGCGGGGCCTGGCAGCCAGCCTCACAGCTGTCCTGGGTCCTTGCAGAGGACCCGGCCTACACACCTCGAGAGTGCTTCCAGCGCATCAGCCGGCGCCTGCGATCTGTGCTTAAGCGGGGCCGCATCCCCATGGTAAGTGCCCCGTCGCCCTGCCAATCAGCTTTTTTCATTGGTTTTTTTTCCCACACCACAGGCTTTCACTTGGGGCTTGAGGCCAGGTTAAAGGGAAACAGGTTATCCAGGGCAGGTTGCATAATGGGAGACAATGCCATATAGACCAGGGAAACCAATGCACAGGACCCACATCTAGGCAAGAAGCATGGGGATAATGAAAATGGGTACTGCAGCCGGGGATTTAGCTCAGATTTAGCTTAGACCTGCCTCTCAAGCGCAAGGTCCCAAGTTCGATCCCTGGTACCAAAAAAACAGAAAGTGGGTACTGCAGGGTGTGTAGGAGTTCGCTAGGCAGAAGAGACAAGCTGGGCATATTATGGACATGTCTAAATGCCTGGTACTTTTGGAAACAGGTAGCCTCATGTAGTGAGTCAGGGTGCCATTTGAACCCAGGGCTTTGGGCTCCAGAGGCCGCCCCAGGTGTGGGGGAACCTGGCCAGCCCACCGGGTTGCACAGTGGCCTGGTGCCTGGGTTGTCTCTTCTGCAGGAGACCCTGGAGACCTGGGAAGAGCGGCTGTCGAGGTTCTTTTCCGTGTCCCCTCAGGCCGTGTACACGGCTATGTTGGACAACAGGTAGTAGGCATGGAGGGGGCCCAGCAAGCTCCCCTACCGTGGGGCTTCTGCCCGCCTGCTCACTTCCTCCTCTCCACAGCTTCGAGAGGCTGCTGCTCCACGCCGTGTGCCAGTACATGGATCTCATCTCGGCAAGTAAGTGAGGGGCCTTGCATGCAGCCAGCAGCCAGGTCCTTGGGTGCAGCTCCCCAGTGGGAGACTTGGAGGCAGGTGTGAAAGCAGTCGGGTGCGGTGCACATCTGTCATCCCAGCACTCTGGGAGGCTGAGGCAGGAGAGTCTCACACTCAAGCCCTGCCTGAGCATCCTAGCAACTTAGGAATACCTTGTCTCAAGATAAAAAATAAAAACGGGGGCTGGGGGTTTAGCTCAGTGGCTCCGGCACCTGCCTCGAAAGCGCAGGGTCCCAAGTTCGATCCCCGGTACCAAAACAAAAAAGCGGGCTGAGGATGTAGCTCAGTGCTAAGGCCTTGGGTTCCATCCCCAGTACTGCAAAAAAACAACAGTAAATTAATCAGGAGTGCCCTGTGTACCCTGCTGGGTGGCACAGGATGCTGCTGGGGATGTGGACAGATACTTCTTTCCCCACATCTCTGGCTCTCGGGCTGGGGACCCCAGTTGGGGTGATGAAGACTCGGAGATGAGAAGCAGGCCTGCAGTGTCTGGATGTTCTTAGCCATAATGTCCCCCTTCCAGCACACACACCCCCTGTCCTAAGACCCTTGTCCTTGCCTCTATGAAGGGAGGGGGCCCATCTCAGGATCCTCTCAGGCCCTCACTAGCCCCAGGCGCCTCATGTGGTCCCAGCTTCCCACACCTGCCTCTGCCTCCTGCCTTGAGTGGCTGGGGAGACAGTTTCTATGGCAACCGTAGGATGGCTTCTCCCGCTCAGCGCCTACACCTGCCTTTGTTCATGCAGACTGAGCTGCAGGGGAGAGGGTTGTCTCCGCAGGGGTGGAACCTTGGCCTGGACACAGGGTGGGGAGGGATTAGTGAGTTAGGGAAGAATTGGGCTCACTGCTTTCTGGGGTGGTGCGAGGGGAGGCTGGCGGGGTGGCACCATCCAGGGCCTTGATGCTTCAAAGTCACCTCCCCAGGGCTTGGGCAGAGGTGGGGGAGACCCAGTGGAGGCTGGACACTTGGCCTAGGGCCACTTTGCCTCAGTTTCCCCGCCTGCACAAGGGGCAAATGAATGAGGCTCGAGTTTCTTTCCTCCCCTTCCCCACTGCCCGACCACAGGTGCCGACCTGGAGGGCAGGCGGCAGATGAAAGTCAGCAATCGCCACCTGGACTTCCTGCCCCCTGGGCTGTTCCTGTCAGCCTACCTAGAGCAGCACAGCTGATGGCGGCCACACAGAGCCCCTGCCACTGCCACGCCATGCCCAGACCTCTGGTGCCATCTGTTAAGACATCTTTCCTGTTTTTAGACTTTATTCTTGGAAACCAGTTTTCCTGTGGAGTGGCTCTTTCTTGTTCACTCTTCATCCCCACCCTGCCCAGCTCTTAAGACATCAATGCTGGCCACAGGGGCTGCCCAGACTATGCCAGCCCCCTAGTGCCCCACCTTGGGACTTGAATTTGGGTGGGGAGATCTCACTGGGCACTTCCATCTCTCTGCTTTGTTTAGCTTTTACTTTGGGGGTCGCTCGGTCTGTGGCTCAGGCGGATAGGAATAGGCTGAGTTTTTATCACTTTTAATCAATTGGGCAAGATTTATTGTAGATTTTTAATTTCTCTTTTGGAGGGAAAAACCAAAATAGGCCCCAGATGGCTCATTGTGGGGCTTTGTCGTGATCCTTGCTTGTCCCGTCCCACTTTTTAGCCGTGTTCGTGTGTGTTGGGGGGGGTCCTCTGGGACCCTCCCCCTTGCTCCAGGAGCATTTCCTTTTGTGTACTTATGTGTGTAACCCCACGAGTGTGCATGTGGGCCCTGCAACCTAGGACACAGCTCTGTTTTAAGGCTGGTTTGATGCTTTCTGTTATGCATGTAGCCACCTCCCCCTCCCGCCTGCTCCTTGCAGCCCCTCTTTTGCCCCCACTCTTACTTTGGGGATCCAGAACTTCCAGCCAGAAGCTTCTGTCCTCACCTCCTGTCCCCTCCTACATTCCCTCTGCCCAGCCTGGCCCTGGCCTCTTGGTCAGGGCCCCCTGCTGGTCACCATCAGGGGACTCAGATATGGAGCAGGCCCAGCCCCTTGTCCTGTGTGTGGCCCGTTGCGTGTGGGGAAGGGGGTGTTTAATAAATTCCTGGTGCTCTGGCCGTGGGCTGTGTGGTTTGTCTGGGTCAGGGCTGGGTCATCTCAGGTCCCGGGCACCGAGCGTGGTGACCTTGGTTGTGCGGTTCCCCGTGGGCGACAAGCTTCTGTGAGTGGACGAGGATTCCAAGACCCCGGCCTGTCCTCATTGGTGCTGGGGTTCAGATGCCAGCTTTGTGACCTTGATAGAGTTGAGCCACTCGTGAGGGTGTAAACAGCCTCACACCGGTCATCCGAGCCACTCAGCTGAGGCAGGACGGTCGCAGGGGTAAGGCCGGCTGAGCTACTTAGCAACTTAGGGAGACCCTGTCTCCGAATAAAGAGCTGAAAAAAATAATTAAAAACAAAACATGAAAAAAATGTCCATCACTGGTCATTTGTGAAATGCAAATTAAAACAATGCTGAGTGCCGGGGATTTAGCTCAGTAGCACAGCGCCGGCCTTGCAAGCGAGAGGTCCTGAGTTCCATCCCTGGTACAAAAAAACCAAACTGCTGATATTCTATCGCACTCCGGAAAAAATGGCTGCTATCAAGAAAGCAACCAATAGGGCCGGGGATTTAGCTCAGCGGTTCCACCGCCTGCCTCGCAAGCGCAAGGACCCGAGGACCCAAGTTCGATCCCTGGTACCAAAAAAAAAAAAGCAACCAATAGCAAATGCTGGAGGGGCTGTGGGGAAAAGGGAACCTTTCTCCACTGTTGGTGGGAGTGTAGACTGGTGCAGCCACTGTGGAAATCAGTGGGAGATTCCTTAAAAAACTAAAACTAGGGGCCGGGGATTTAGCTCAGTGGTTCTGGCGCCTGCCTGGCAAGGCGCCTGCCTCGCAAGCTCAAGGTCCTGAGTTTGATCCCCAGTACCAAAAAAAAACAAAACTAAAACTAGAGGTTCCATTTGGCCCAGCTATTAGTCTTCTTGGTATCTTCCGAAGGGGATCCAGCTCAGTGGTGGTGCCACTGCCTGCCTTGCAAGCACAGGATCCTGAGTTCAATCCCTGGCACCCCCCCAAAAAAAGCATCATACCACACCAGTATGTGCACACCCATGTTTATAGCACCGCAGTCCATAACAGGTAAATCTTGGAAACAACCCAGATGCTCATCAACCAACAGATGGATAAAGATGTGGTTTTTTTATACAATGGATTACTAATCTGCCATAAAGGATGCACTTCAGACATAGCTAAATGGATGGACCTTGAGACCATACTCCTAACAAATAAATCAGACACACGTGTTTACTGAATTGTTTCTCTGGTGTGAAAAACTGAAAGTGGAAATAAGGACTGAAATGTATAATGGATGTTGGGAAATGGGAAGATAATGTTCAAATGGGAAGGGGAACAAAGGAGGGAGGGAGGAAGGAAGGGACAAAAAATGAAAACAGCTTTGTACACAGGGAATTGAGGATGGGGTGGGATAAAATAAAATTTATTTTAAAAATTAGAAAAAGTAAAAACAAAAAGGGCTGGGGGTGCAGCTCAATGCTGAGCAACTTCCTAGCATGCCCTAGACCCTGGGTCCCCTCATTAGAACTGAAAAACAGAGCCCAAACAAAACACTACAAACTGGGCAGCTGAAGGTAACAGGAGTTTATTTCTCAGACGCAGGCTGAGGTTGGGGTCCTTCCCTCTTCCGGCTCCTGGGGTTCCCTGTGTCCTCAGGTGTCTCCCTCTGTGTGGCTGCAGTTCCAAATGTCCCCTCTGTAGGGGACGCTGTCCTACAGATCAGGTCTCACTCTAACCCTTTTTAGACTGGATCGACTGTGTAAAAAACTCAGCTTCCAAATACGGCCATATTCGGAGGTGGTGGGGACCTCAGTGTACCTATTGTTTTTTCTTTTCTCTCTACTAGGGATGGAGCATGGGGGCTGTGGCATGGAGCTACATCCCCAGCTCTGCTTTCTTTTTGGTGGCATATTCTGTTTGAAAAAGTAAAAGTGAAGAGTGAGGGAGAAACTGCCTCTGTAGATCAAGCTTGGAGTAAAAGAGGAAAAAACAAGATAAAAGTACACTCTGGAGGAAGCAGAGCAAGCTATCCTGAGGAAAGCCATGATGCCATCAGCCCCACTTTTTATTTTGAAAGAGTGTCTCCCTTGGGCTGGGGATTTAGCTCAGTGGTTTCGCCGCCTGCTGCACAAGGACCCGAGTTCGATCCCTGGTACCAAAAAAAAAAAAAAAAAAAAAAAAAGAGTGTCTCCCTAAGTTATCTAGGCTGGTCTAGAAAATTCAATCCTTATGCCTCAGCCTCCCAGAGTGCTGGGATGACAAGTTTGTGATACCACACCTGGTCCTAGAATGCAGTGTTTCGTTTTGTTGTTTTTTGTTTTTGAGACAGGGTTTCATTCTATAGTTCAAGCTGGCCTTGAACTCACTATGTAGCCCAGGCTGGCCTCCAACTCTCTGGGCAATCCTCCTGCCTCAGCTTCCTAAGTGCTGAGATTACAGGCATACGCCACCGTGCCCAGCCTGGAATGCAGTTTTGGAAAAAGAATTAGAGACCACATTTAAAACCAGAAAGACTTTCAGTTTAAAAAGCCACCATAGCTGGGGATTTAGCTCAGTGGTTTTGCTGCCTGCCTCACAAGTATGAGGTCCTGAGTTCGATCCCTGGTACCCCCCCCCAAAAAAGATAACACCTTCAATCTTTAAAAAAAATAATAATAATAAAAAGCCACCATATTGGCTTGAGGTTTTGAGATCCTGTCTCATAATAAAAAGGCTGGAAATGCAGCTCAGTGGTTAGTGCTTGTTTAGTAGGCATGAAGCTCTGGGTTCCATCCCCAGCACTGGTTAAAAAAAAAGTCACCTAGGGCCGGGAATTTAGCTCAGCGGTTCTGGCGCCTGCCACACAAGTGCAAGGTCCCAAGTTCGATCCCTGTACCAAAAAACGGAAAAAAAAAAAGTCACCCTGTGATCCAGCTCCCCCCACCCCTGGGTATAGACCAGAAGGAAGCTAAGTCAGTATTCTAGAGTCACCTGGTACTCAAGTTCCACAGCACCATTAACAATGGCCAAGGCATGGAAGAGGTCCCAGTGCTCCTCAACAGATGAGGGGATCAAGAAAATGTAGTCATTGGACCGGTGGTTTGGCTCAGTGGTTTCGCCGCCTGCTGCACAAGTACAAACACCCAAGTTTGATCCCCGGTACCGAAAAAAAAAAAGAAAAAGAAAATGTACGTGTATGCAGAATGGAATACTACTGAGCCGTAAAAAGAATGAGACATCTTTGGTGGGCAAATAGATGGGACAAAATATCATGTTAAGCGAAATAGACAAGGATGTTCTCTTTTCTATGTAGGAACTAAAACATTTTTTAAAACAAAAGCAAACCTTGAGGGGTAGAAGGGACAGGGGACATAAAAGCACGATTTATGTAAGTATGGAAATGTCACAGTGAAACCCATTAATTTGTACAATTAATATACATCAATAATAATAAGGTGAAGGTACCTCACATATCAGAGCCTCAATTTCCTATTGTGAACTTGAGAAAAATAACATATAGAATGAATAAAAACACTTATAACAGGAGATGGGGAAGGAATTTAAGGTCAAAATGTCCCTCAACAGGGCCGGGGATTTAGCTCAGTGGTTCCGCCGCCTGCTGCGCAAGCTCCAGAACCCGAGTTCGACCACCGGTACCCCTCCAAAAAAAAAAAACGGGCCGGGGATTTAGCTCAGTGGTTCCGGCGCCTGCCTCACAAGCGCAAGGTCCCGAGTTCGATCCCCGGTACCAAAAAAAAAAAAAATGTCCCTCAACAGCTTAAGTAACTTCTTATTATTTTATCAGAGCCTCAGGTTTCCTGCCAGTGAAGATTAGGAAAAAGAAGAGGCAAAAATATGGAACGCTTCACGAATTTGCGTGTCATCCTTGCGCAGGGGCCATGCTAATCTTCTCTGTATCGTTCCAATTTTAGTATATGTGCTGCCGAAGCGAGCACAAATCCTAACCCTTTCTACCTGCCATTTATAGTTCCAAAAATATATTTCTTATCACTAAGGGTGAACACTTTTCAAAGCGCTTTAGCAGTCTTTTTTCATACTATTAGTGTCAAACATAGAGCAACTAAATATATTTATTAATCAGAGTTACAAAAAGTTCTTTTTCTCTACTATATATATATATATATAAATAAAAAACTACAGTGGCTGCTGGGAATTTCTACATGCAAATAAACCCGGAAGTCGAGCTGTGCCGGAGCCGTCGCCATCCCATAAGTGTTTGCGAAGCCCCGGAGCAGCTTAGGCGACTCCTTGGTTTGGAAAAGATGGCGGCGCCGGAGCTGGGCCGCTGGGGAGAGTACGGGCCGCGGCCGCCCGCTCGGCTGGGCGCACGTGCCGGGCAGGTGAGCATGTAGCTGCGGGGGAGTCGGTGAGGTCTGCTGGCTTCCGGACGACATCTGCGGTCGCTGAGAGTGTCCCGGGACCTGCCGGCCGTGGGGGCGGGGCCTATGGGTCGGGGTGCGGGTCTGGCCGTAGAGGATCCTGGGTACGCGGTCTGAAGCACGGGGCGGAGCCTGGGGCGGGAATTTGAGGTGAGACCTGGTGCCCACGGCGATCGGTGTGCGGGGGCGGGGCCTAAGGATCTTTGAGGTCTGGGAGCAGGGCCGGGAGAATCGAGAGTGATTGGGACCTTTGCCGAGCTTGGGGTCTGGAGGTTTTGTGGGGCCCCTCGGTGCTGCCTGAGAGTTTATGGCCGGCCAGGGAACTGAGGGGGCGACTTGGGGCGATCCACAGTGAGGCTGGAAGGATGGGAAGCAAGGATGGGCGCTGGGTGAAATGGGCCAAGGATAATTGTGTTCCCACAGGGCGCTGCACTGGTGAAGAGAAACAGTCTCTCATCGATGCCAGGTCCCTAGGAAGCCATTGTCCCTCCCGCACTGCTCCTCACGCCCCCACTCGGGGGCAGCCTCTGCTCATGTGTCCCGGGCTCTTCCCTCAGAATAGACACAGGGTTCTTTGCTTTTCAGTCTGCCCCGAACCGTCTTTGCCTATCACCTGCACTGGGGCAAGGACCTCTCCCCACGGCCTCCATGATTGGCCCCTAGGCAGTCCAGCCAGAGAGGGCTGCTAAATGAAACTTAAATTGGTCCCAGCCTTTCTGGCTCCCACCTGGCTGAGGGTGGACACTCATAGGCCCAGAAATGGCCTCCTGCTTTCCTGCCCTCACTTCCCCACACTCCGGAACCGGCCACAGCCCAGGCTAGGTATAGGCCTGGGCCTTTACACTGGCAGGTGCCCCCTCCTCAGCACCCTTCCTGCAGGTGTCTGCCGGCCGCACTTGGGTGCCGCCTCCCCGTGAGGCATGGTAGACACACTGCACTAAAGCTGCAGCCCCCTGCCTCAAAAGAACAAAAACCAACCCAAAGTAGGGTCCACATCCCCACCCTGCACAGTGGCGCCAAAGGGCAAGACTCGGCTCTTTCCATCTGGGTATCCAGGATGGCGCTCATTTCCGCATCCCCCCACAGGAGCCGGCGACTGCCCTGGGTGCGGTGGGCACCATGGACCTGGCTTATGTCTGTGAGTGGGAGAGATGGCCCAAGAGCACCCACTGCCCCTCGGTGCCCCTGGCCTGCGCTTGGTCCTGCCGCAACCTCATCGCCTTCACCACAGACCTGCGGAATGATGACCAGGGTGTGTCCCTACCTACCCCACTGTTCCCTTTGGAGATGGGCAGTCGGGGTCTCAAGCTCTCTCCCACTCTACTTGCGATGTTGGGCATCCCCATCTCTAGGAAGCAGAAGGTCACAGCCCTTCTGTGCCTGGTACCTGGGATTGCCCCTGTGAAGGCAGCCGTGGGACCACAGGGCTGGGGCACAGTGACTCCCCTGCTGCCCCACCTCTCCATTGTTCTGATAATACATGCTGTTAGAGAGGATTGGAGAGCACAGAGGCTCAGGATAATGAGAGATGCCGCCTGGTGTTTTTTGTGAAGAGACACCTACTCTGAGCTTTTGGGGTCATTTTCCTCCAGTTCCATTTTCTGTCTTTATTTGTGTGATTTATTTGTGATACGAGGAATTGAACCTAGGGCCTCCGCATGGAGCTGCATCCCTAGCCCATATTTATTTTTTATTTTGAGATAGGATCTCACTAAGTTGTCTAGGCTGGACTCCAATTTGCAACCCTTCTGTCTCTGCATCCCAGAGTGCAGGGATGACAGGCATGAGCCACCACACCTGGCTTCTGTGTCCCTTTTAAAAACACATTTACAGCCATATGGGTGGCCAGCTTCTTACATTTTGACTGTGACCCTCAGCACAGTCAGTGGCAGCTCTGTGAGCTTCCCAGGAGCCACAGCATCATCAGAGGCCCTAGGTGGGCAGGGCTGACCACACCCCATCCCCTGCAGACCTGACCCGCATGATCCACATTCTGGACACCGAGCACCCCTGGGACGTGCACTCCATCAACTCAGGCCACAGCGAAGCCATCACCTGCCTGGAGTGGGACCAATCAGGTGAGGCTGGGACCCCGAGTCCCCAAACAGTGGGTCCTGACCTTTCCAGGTCAGTCCTTTGGGACCCCCGGATGTTCTGCGGTATCCAATGAGGCTGTGACACTGCTCTGCTCCGTAGGCTCCCGGCTGCTCTCGGCTGATGCAGATGGCCAGATCAAGTGCTGGAGCATGGTGGACCACCTGGCCAACAGCTGGGAGAGCCGTGTGGGTAGCCTGGTGGAAGGAGACCCCATTGTGGCACTGTCTTGGCTGCACAATGGTGTGAAGTTGGCACTGCACGTGGAAAAGGTAGGTGTCCACCCGAGCGAGACAGTGATATGCATACCCCACTCACCCACCTGCCAGCTGTCTCCTCTCCCACCATGAGCATCCTTGGGTTTTTTGTAAGCCCTGGGCATGGTTCACACCTAGAATCAAACTCAAAGTTCACACCTGTTTTCTTGGGCCACCAGTTAACTTATGGCTATTATCCTGGAACCCAGCCATTATGGAACCTTAGTTCAGTAACATCCTGTTCTCATTCTGTGGTTCAGCCACAGTTAGGGGTCGGGGCTGCTGGGGCTGCTAAGGGTTATCCAAGTTGAACCCCAACTTAAGGCCCCTGTGAGCACGTTCCCCTGGAGGGCAGGGTCATGGTGAGGATCTGGTGAGGGGACGCGGCCAGGGGTGGGCACCATCACTGCCGATGATCCTTAAGGCTTAGCTGCCTTGGTGTGAGCCAGGGTGAGGCGGCGGTTGGGCATCTTTGCTCTCTTTGTGTCCTGGCCTCTGTCCTCTTCAGGCCAAGCGGAGCCTTCTAAGGTTGTCCCCTGTGGTCTTCTTGTGTCTGTTTTTTAATTTATTTCATTTTTATTTTATTTTTCTTTTGGTACTGGGGATCGAACTTGGTCCTTGCGCTTGCGAGGCAGGCACCGGAACCACTGAGCTAAATCCCCGGCCCTGTTTTTTAATTTAATGTCTTTTGTGCATACGTGTATGTATGTGTGTGGTACTGGGGATTGAATCCAGAGCTTTTGCACTGAGCTACCTCCCCAGACCTTTTTTTATTTTTTATTTTTAGACAGCATCTTGCTACATTCCCCAGGCTGGGCTCTGACTTGGAATCCTTATGCTTTAGTCTCCCATAGGGCTGGGATTATAGGCAGGTACCACCACAGCTGGCGAAAAACAGTTGAGATAGAGCGTAAAGATCACTGGCTTTTAGTATCTTCACAGAGCTGTGCCACCCCTCCCTGCCACTAAATCCAGAATATCCCATCACCCCAGTAGGAAGCCCCATCTATGCCCATAAGCAGTCACCTGTCTCCTCCTCAGCCCCAGCACACACAAGTCCACTTCCTGTCCCTGGAGTCACCTGTCCTGGGCGTTTCCTGTCCATGGAACCCATCCTGTGTGTCCTCTGTATCTGGCATCTCTCACTGAGCATGGCATCCTGTAGGGCTAACATGCAGAAGAACCTGGATTCAGTAACCTGTACTGCAAAAAAAAAAAAAAAAAAAAAAGTGAATTTTGTGTGTGAATCACACGTTAATAAATGTAATTCAGGACCTGACTCCTGGCCACCACAGCTGGTACTCATGGGTTCCCTTGGGGCTCTTCAAAGTGCAGCCCACAGACTGAACGCAGCCCCCACCCATCTGTGTAAAGCAGCTTTCCTGGTGCACAGCTGCGTGCCCTCCATTCCTTGCTGTCTGCCGTCTCCAGCTTCTGGCCTACAAAGGTAGACAAAGCCACGTGGCCATCATGGGGACAGCTTGGCGCCAGGACTGGAAATGCCTGGTTTGTGGGCCTTTACGGAAAGACACTGTGACTGCTTTGTGCATCCATTCAAGCACCTCATCCTCACCATGGTCTTCCAATGTAGAAACATCATTCTTGGCTGGGAGCCGTGGCGCACATTTGTCATCCCTGCACCAAGGGAAGCTGAGGCAGGAGAATCCCAAGTTCAAGCCCAGCCTAGGCAACTTCAGGACTTAGCAAGACACTGTATCAAGATAAAAAATGAAAAGAGCTGGGGTGCTGCTTGCTAAGACACCCCCAGCTGACCCCTCCTTCCCCACAGTCCGGCGCCTCCAGCTTCAGTGAGAAGTTCTCCCGGGTGAAGTTCTCGCCGTCTCTCACGCTCTTCGGAGGCAAGCCCATGGAGGGCTGGATCGCAGTGACAGTCAGTGGGCTGGTCACCGTGTCCCTGCTGAAACCCAGCGGGCAGGTGCTGACATCCACCGAGAGCCTGTGCCGGCTGCGCGGCCGTGTGGCGCTGGCTGACATCGCCTTCACGGGCGGCGGCAACATCGTGGTGGCCACGGCAGATGGCAGCAGCGCGCTGCCCGTGCAGTTCTACAAGGTGTGCGTGAGCGTGGTCAGCGAGAAGTGCCGCATTGACACCGAGATCCTGCCCTCCCTGTTCATGCGCTGCACCACCGACCCCCACCGCAAGGACCGCTTTCCCGCCATCACCCACCTCAAGTTCCTGGCCCGAGACATGTCCGAGCAGGTGGGTGCCTCTCTGCTCACCACCCAGGACCTGGGGTCTGAGCCCCAGGGGTGGGGTGGGGCAGGTGGCAGACCCAGTTCCTCTCACCCTCCCATCTTCTCAGGAGGACCCTGAGGGTTGGGATGGTCAGGATGATCCCCCTCAGGGTCCTTCACTTAGCCCAGCGGCAGCTGGCAGCTTCTTTCTGCTGTGGGAGGTGACATGTCCTCCCGCCCCTGGGATTAGGACATGTGTCTCTTTTATTTTGGTTTTGTTTTCTTTTTGAGGCAGGGTCTTGCTGTGTAGTTCAGGCTGGCCTTTAACTCACTATGGAGCCCAGCTTGACCTCGCACTCAAGGTGCTCCTCCTGCCTCAGTTTCCCAAGTGCTGGGGTGACACCGTGTACTACCATGACCAGTAGGACAGCTGTGCCTCTGAGGCTGTTACTCACCCCATCACAGCGAGTCCCCTGGGTCCTTATGCATCTGAGTATCTTTAAATGTCTCACATCCCCGTGATGCATTTCCCTTTGTTTCTCGGCTTCCTTGTGGGAAGGGCCCCATTGTGGTGACATCTGTCATCCTGTGTGGCTCCACTCTAGAGAGGACACAGCAGGCTGGTGCTACCCTGGAGGTGAAGCTTTTCACTGGGGTCCCCCAGCTCACAGGGCTCAGGGAGGGGTCATGGGGATGGCCAGGTCCCAGTCCCACCAGCCACCCACCCGCAGGTGCTGCTCTGCGCGTCCAGCCAAACGAGCAGCCTGGTGGAGTGCTGGTCCCTGCGGAAGGAGGGGCTGCCAGTCAACAACATCTTCCAGCAGATCGCACCTGGTGAGTCCCCGCCAGCCCTCCTGGGGGTTTGGGGTTTTGGGGGATGCCGGACGCTGGGGATGGAACACAGGGCCTTGTGCAGCCAAGCATGCACTCTGCCTCCAAACCACAGCCCAGACAGCCGCTCCGCTTTTAACTTGTGCATTTTCATCTGTTCCATCCCCCTCTCCTCGGACTCCGAGGGGGCTGTGGAGGGAGGGGAAACAGTAGCTCAGCGTGGGGAGTTGCTTGGCCCAGTCACCCGGTGAGGGGACAGCCCTGTGCTTCCCACAGGCAGCAGGTGTCCGGCCCACGGAGCAGCCTGTGCCAACGTCCCGGGGTGAGGCTGTGGGCCGAAGAGGCTGAGAAAGGGCTGAATTCGCAGCAGGGCTCCTGGACTGCAGGGTGATGTGACCCTCAAAGTGGTGGAATCTCCCAGAAACCCTGGCTCCATGAGGAAGGGCGGGGGTGACTGGGTTTGTCAAGATGTGCACCCCTGGCTCATGTCTGTACCAGCATCTGCTTCCTCAGCCCTTTCAGGAGCAATTGTCCTACCCCCAGTACCTTATACACCCCCACTCTACCCTTGTATGCACTCAATTCTTTTTCTTATTTCTTTTGTTGAGACAGGGTCTCACTATGTAGTTCAGGCTGGCCTTGAACTCACTGCGTAGCCCAGGCTGGCTTCAGACTTGCGGCGATCCTCCTGCCTCAGCCTCCTTAGTGCTGGGATTACAGCTATGCCCTCTGTGTCTGGCTCTAAAGCTACTGCATTCTTACCCCTTTTCTTTTGGTACCGGGGATTGAACTCAGGACCTTGCCCTTGCAAGGCAGGCGGCGGAACCACTGAGCTAAATCCCGTTGAGCTAAATCCTAAATGCATTCTTAAAACCCACTTGATTCCCAGAACCCCTTGAGAAGTGTCTGGATCTCAGCCCGGCTGAGGCTGTGCGCCCCCACCCCCTCTGGGAGAGAGATTTCCCTGAAGATGAAAAGCAAAAAGTGCCTGCTGCCCATTAGTGCTAATGGGGCCTGGAGTGGCCGGGGATTCAGGGGGTTGCTAATCGGAAGCCGCTAATGAACCTGGGTCAAGAGGCCCCTTGGGTCCAGCCTGTGGAGGTTACATAAACTGCCTATTGTGGCCTCGAGCAATTAAAGTGAAGAGGCTGAGCTCCGCTTCCCGGCCCACCCACGTACCTCATCCTGAGTCACCACATCTCCTCCAAGTGGCAGTCAGGGCCTCCAGGTTGGGGCCCCTGTGGGGCTCAGGTGGCCCCTGGCCCTTTCCTACCCTGGGCCTCCCTGGGGACAGCCACAGCCCTGCCACTGGTCAGGAGTGGCACTGTCCCCTGCAGCCAGGCTCATGTGGTCCTGGCCCCTCGCTGGGTTCTGTTCTTCCTCTTTGTTTCCTCCAGCCGCCCCCACACAGTCCTGTCCCAAATGAAGCCACGTCTCACGACGCCCTCGTCACCCCCAACAGCCTGTGCCAAGCACACCCTGACCCCCCATGCCTGCCAGCCGCCCTCTTTCCCGGCATCCAGCCCGCTCCCAGCTGACCTGTGACTTAGGGACAGTGGCTGGGACCGGTGCTGGGGTGGGTGGCAGGGTGTGGGTCATCAAGGTCCCGACCCTGGCGATGTCACTGCACCGCTCACCATGCTCACTGTCCTGTGTCCTCCCAGAGAGGCACGAAGTGCCACAGGGCAGGTGGCCTCAGCCACTCGACCTCAGTTTCCCTTGGAGGAAGATCCTGGCCGGGATTCTCTGTGAGGCTCAGAGCAGGAGTGAAGGAGATCAGGGCTGAGAGTGACAGAGGAGACAGTGGGCGTCACTTCCTGTCATGGAACCGCGAGGCAGGGAGCAGAAGCCTTGGGCCAGGCTGGGGCTGGGCGGCCTCTGCTGTTCCTTCTCTACGTCAGTGACCAGCTGCTGGCTGTCCCCAGACTCCCTGTCCTCTCCTGGCCTGTTAAGTCATGTCACTTTTGGGACACCTGGCCCCACTGGCCAAGCCTAGATGATGGAAACCCAAAAGTCGGTTGTGGAAGCTGATGCTTTGTCGCCTGAGGGTGTGGGGTCACAGCCATGCATAGTCCTGTACAACCTCCTTATGGGGGACTTCACAGGTGCTGAGGAACAGAAATCTCATCTTGAACTGGCCGGGCCCAGAGGGAATGCTGGGTCTCGGGTGATGTGGTGCTGCTCCATAGAGTTGGCTACAGCAGGGGACAGGAAGGTGGCCCCACCACCAGCTCACACCCTCTTGTATAAAATTAATCCCAGGGCTAGCCAGGTACCATGGCATGTACCTGGAACCTCAGCTACTCAGAAAGCTGAGGCAGAAGGATTGCAAGTTCAAGCCAAGCCTGGGCAATTTAACAAGACACTGTCTCAAAATAAAAAACTAGAAAAGGCTGGGAGGTGGCTCAGTGATAGAATGCTCTTGGGTTCCATCTGGAGTACAGAAAGAAACAAATCCCAGCTGATATTGGCCAGCCTTGGGTCATGTGCCCATCCCTGAGCCAATTGGCTGGTAGTACGGTATAGTATTTGGTGCACTCTGATTGGCCCGGCCTGGATCCTCTTCCTGGGTGGGAATAGGGATGGACAGGTTTGTTGGTTTGTTTGTTTTGTTTTGTTTTTTGGTACTGGGGATCAAACTGGGGACCTTGTGCTTATGAGGCAGGCGGTGGAATCACTGAGCCAAATCCCTGCCCCCCCCCCTTTTTTTGGCCCCTGTTTGTTTTTTGAGACAGGGTCTTACTATGTACTTCAGGGTGGCCTTGAACTCAGCAATCCTGCCTTGGCCTCCTGACTGCTAGGATTACAGGCGCATGCCACCACATAAGGCTTTGGGGCAGCTCATGCCCTGCAGGGTGCTATGTCAGCCTTGTCTCCCCTTCTTTCCATTGTTCCCCACACACTTTTCCTGCTCCACAATGTTCCAGTTGGCGACAAACAGCCCATGATCCTCAAATGGCGGATCCTCTCAGCCACCAACGACCTGGACCGCGTGTCAGCCGTGGCGCTGCCCAAGCTGCCCATCTCACTCACCAACACTGACCTCAAGGTGGCCAGTGACACCCAGTTCTACCCAGGCCTTGGTATGTGACGCTGAGGAGCTTAGGAGCTGCTGCAGGTCTCATGGGGGCCGCGACTCAGAGGTGGTGGGAGCCGGGTTCCCTGGGGGGCTTTGGGATGGAGGAGTTTGGAGGGCAGGGCACCAAGGCTGCAGACGGCACTGTGCTCCTTCATGTGCAGAGAGCCCTTGCAGAGTGGTACTTAGCAGCCCCCGTGCTGGCCCTCACTTTGCCCATCTGTGAGGGGATGGGCTGTCTGCACTTCAGGCTGCCCCCCATTCATTGGAAGGAGCAGCTGTCAAAATTCACACTAGGGACAGGGCCTTTTTTTTCTATGTACTGCAGATCAGATCGAGAGCCTTCACACTGAGCTACATCCTCTGGACCCCCCCCCTTTTTTTTTTTGGTACTGGGGATTGAACTCGGGTCCTTGTGCTGGTCCAGCAGGTGGCAAAACCACTAAGGTAAATCCCCGGCCCCCCTGGCCCCTTTTTTAATTTTGAGTTTTGCTTTTTTGGGGGTACTGAGGATGGAACTCAGGACCTTGCTCTTTCAAGGTAGACGCAGTGCCACTGAGGTAAATCCCCAGCCCCCGTTTTAAAATTTTTTTTTTTTAATTTTGAGACAGGGTCTCACCAAGTCTCTTGAGTTCCCCAGGCGGGGCTCTAACTTTTGATCCTCCTGCTTCAGCCTCCCCATGTGCTGGGGTGACAGGCGTGTATCCCCATGCCCAGCTGACTCAGGGCCTTTTACTGGGAACCTGCAGAGAAAGGGGCCTGGAGACTCAGTCTCTGGCCTGAACACGGCATGCTCTTCGTGTTCCAGCCCTCTCACCACCTCCGAGGACAGCTCGGTCCTCTCTTCCGTGCTGGGCCTTGGGCTGGGACCTGCTGCCCTCCCTTAGAAGCAGAGCCGAGTCTGGCTGTTGGTCAATCATTTGGTTTTCTCAAGACCACTGGAAGTGTTGGTGACAGTGTCTGTCACCCGTGGGCTGCTCCGCCCCCTTGCCTCACTGACCCCTGACCCCACCACGAGGCGCTTGTCAGGCTCCTGGGTGTTGAGGGGCTCCTGTGTCCCCACATCAGCCCAGACTCCACCTGGTGCTGGCGCCTTGGGGCCGAGGCTTGAAGTCACCTCACTTTGGGGGTTCTGAAAGTAAAGGACATGGGGAGAGCAGCTCCTGAGGGGCTGCCACCCCTCACCGGGTGGCCACCTCCCACCCTGGTGTCCAGAGCCGAGGCCCTGACTCTGCCTGACCACGCGTCCCACAGGTCTGGCCCTGGCCTTCCACGACGGCAGTGTCCACATCGTGCACCGGCTCTCGCTGCAAACCATGGCCGTCTTCTACAGCTCAGCCACGGCACGCTCCGTGGACGAGCCGGCCATCAAGCGCTCCCGGGCCACCAGCCCTGCCGTGCACTTCAAGGCCATGCAGCTGTCCTGGACCTCCCTGGCCCTCGTGGGCATCGACAACCACGGGAAGGTGTGTGTCGCCCCTGCGGCCAGGACTTGCGGGACAGTTTCGGGGACCCTGGTGCCTCCCCCTCCCTTAGGGCAGGGACCCAGCCACAGGTGTGGGGGGTCCGACCCTGCCCTGTGCCCCTCTCCCATGAGCCCATGTAACCGTCTTGCCCCCAGCTCAGCATGCTGCGCATCTCGCCCTCCATGGGCCATGCTTTGGAGCTGGGCCTGGCACTGCGGCACCTGCTCTTCCTGCTAGAGTACTGCATGGTGACCGGCTATGACTGGTGGGATATCCTGCTGCACGTGCAGCCGGGCATGGTGCAGAGCCTGGTGGAGCGGCTGCATGAGGAGTACACACGCCAGAAGGCAGCACTGCAGCAGGTGGGACAGGGCCAGGGCAGATGCTGGGTGGGGGAGGCTACGGACGGGGCTGGGGAGGGAGTCAGCCAGGCAGGGAAACCCGTGGGGGTGGGGACAGCCTGAGACAGTGAAGGCCTAACAAGGCAGATGGGGACCCCAGTGTGAACAGGTGAGGTGTGGAGGCTTCAACCTGCTGCAGATTTTTAAAAAACTTTATTTCGGGCTGGGGATTTAGCTTAGTGGTTCTGCTGCCTGCCTTGCAAGTGCAAGGACCCGAGTTCGATCCCCGGTACCAAAAAACAAACAAACAAACAAACTTTATTTCTAGGCACCCGCAGTGGTCCATGGCTGTTAGCCCAGCACTCTGGAAGGCTGAGGCAGGAGAATCTTGAATTGGACCCCCATCCTAGATAATTTAGGGTCTTAGCAAGACCCTGTCTCAAAAAATTAATTTTTACCAAGAGAAATTATGTAAATGTGCAAATTTCCAGTGATGAATGTCATTATATTGTATACCTAAACTGTAAAAATAAAATTAATTTTTGCTGGGTGTGGTGGTACACGGCTGTAACCCTAGCACTTGAGAGACTGAGGCAGGAGGATCACTGCCTGGACTACCTAGTAAGTTCAAGGCTAGCCTGAACTACATAGCTGAGGCCCTGTCTCAAAAAAAAAATTTTTTTTTTTGTGGGTGCTGGCCTCATGCACGCTTGGCAGGGACTCACCACTGAGCAGTGCCTTTCATTAGCTCTTTTTTTTGGTACCGGGGATCGAACTTGGGACCTTGTGCTTGGGAGGCAGGCAGCGGAAACACTGAGCTAAATCCCCAGCCCTCATTAGCTCTTGATTTAAAGCTTGCTGTACAGCAGCAAAAGCCTTCTGGTGAGAGTCAAGTCCACCTGGACATTCCGGCTCAGCTCCCAGCCCCGGGCTCTTTCTACATTGCTTTCCAGAATTGCTTTCCAAAATGTGCATGGGGCCCCAGCCAGTGTGACAGGAGGGAAAACATAAGGAGAGAGCAGAATGGCAAAGAAACTGTCACTGACAGCGTGACTGAAGACAATAATGGCCCCCATCTAAACCCTGGGACAGGTGTTCAGTCGGGAGTTTCCGCCCAGATCGGCACTAGGCAGAGAAGGTGCAATGCAGGTGCAGGTCCCATGCCTTGCAGACCTGGCAGGAGAGGCCTGAGGTCCTTGTGAGGTGCTGGGAACTTAGCCTGGTATCCAGTCGGGGTTCACAACTGGTGGCGAAGGGTGAGACCCACACTGACCGGGCCCCAGCAGTGCCCAGCACATTTGTGCTTTGCACTCAGCCTTTCGAGCCAGGTGTGGCAGTGCGTGCCCGTCAGCCCAGCTGCACAGGGGCCAGAGGCGGGAGGGTTGCAGGTCATCCTGTGCATTCAGCCCTATGGTGAGCGAGCCCCGTTCGGCCCGGGCCCGTCACTCCCCCAGACAGCCAGTGCCCCGACCCACCAGCCTCCTGCTCCCTGCCCTCTCCGCAGGTCCTCTCCACCCGGATCTTGGCGATGAAGGCCTCCCTGTGCAGGCTGTCGCCCTGCACCGTGACCCGCGTGTGCGACTACCACACCAAGCTCTTCCTCGTGGCCATCAGCTCCACCCTCAAGTCCCTGCTGTGCCCCCACTTCCTCAACACGCCCGACAAGAGCCCTGGCGACCGGCTGGCCGAGATCTGCTCCAAGATCACCGATGTGGGTGGGTGGAAGCCATGGCTGCCCCGGGGCCGGCTCTGTGGTGGCTCCTGGGTTCCCCGCTCAAGGTTGCCCAGGTTTATGGGGGGCTGTCTGGCCCAAACCCCAGACAGAGGCTCTCAGGACGCTTCATCTAGACAGATGGCTGACCAGACCCTTGAGCCTCCTGGGGCCACTCTTCCTTTTTCCTTTAAAAATTCAGGTTCCAGGGGTGTGGTGATGCAGGCCTGTCATCCCAGTACTCTGGGAGGCTGAGGCAGGAGGAGCCCAAGTTCAAGCCTGTCTTACTTACTTCACTCATTTCTGAGACAAAATACTGGACACCCAAAGTTAAAGGAGGAGACATTTATTTGTCAGAGTTTGTAGAGGTTTCAGTCCATAGTCGGCTGGCTCCAAGGCAGGGTAGTATGGCAGAGCGGCATCGCAGAGGAGAAACAGTTCATGGCAGGCAGAAGGCAGAAAAGCAACAAAGTAGTGCAGAAACAAGTCCAAGTGACCTTAGCAGCTTCTTTCTGCCCCTTTTATAGTCTATCTAGGCTAATGAGTTTAGGGCGGCTACCAAACCAACCCGTGGGCTGATTTAGTAATCACATACCCTTAATCTAAGAATCACACACTCTAGATCTAGCACCTCCAAAAAAGCCTTGCCTACGACTGTATGAGGCTTTGGGGGGGACATCTAGACACAGCTATAAACAGAGCCCAACCTGGAAAACTTAGCGAGACCCTTTCTCAAAAATTTAAAAAGGGCTAAGGCCTCAAATTCAATACCCAGTTTTGGGGGAAAAAATTACATAAAGCCAGGCATGGCGGTGCATGCCTGTGGTCTCAGCGCTTGGGAAGCTGATGCAGAAGGATTGTTGTGAGTAGTAAGTTCAAGGCCAGCCTGGACTATATACCCAGACTGTCTCACAAAAAAATTTTTTTACATAATTCAGATTCCATCTAGGGTCAGTGGCTCCATCTGGTTTGTTATCCCAGCTACTCTGGAGGCTGAGGCAGGAAGAGCAAGGGTTTGAGGCCAGCCTGAGCAGCTTCATGAAACCCTATCTGAAAACAAAAAATATACAAAAAGGACCCGTGATGTAGCTTAGTGGTAGAGCGCTTGCTGAGCACAGGAGATCGCTCAGGCTGGGGTGGGGCCCAGTGGCAGCCATCCCAAGGCGTGTTTGAAGCCCTGAGTTCCATCCCAGCACCACCGAAGCCCAACTTCCTCTGTATGTGCTGAGGACCTAGTGTACACGTGGGAGTTGGAGCCTCTGGAAAAAGGGGCACCTGCAGTCCCAGCGTGGCCTGTCACTTGCTGTCCAGCCGGGGACACTGGCCAGTGTGAAGGGGATGTGCTCCCAATCAGGCTAGCAGGAGGCGGCATGGGACTCCCCTGCCCAACCTGTGTCCCTTACTCTGGAAGGGACATGTGGCACATCTCTGGGCCTCCTCTTCCACGGGACAGACCCAGGTCTGTCCTGTGTGTGACTTAGCCCAGGCCAGCATCCTATTCACTGGTGAATCACTGTGAATCACAGTACTGCCTCACAGTGTTGTTTTCCTGGTGCCTTTTTCACGGCTGTTTAGTTATCCCCTCCACTCAGGCACAGGAGTTCAGCCAGCCAGTGTCTTGCGTGGTCTGCGCATGTGCTCATGGTTGTTTCTGTTCCATCCCAAGCTTCGCCCAGGAGCATCCGCTGGTGTCTGATAGGTTCTGGGCGCCGCACCAGGCCCAGCACTGAGGGTGCTCAGCCCATGCAGGTTGAACTCCGGGGCCCCTGTGTCCAGGGCTGCTCACACCGTGAGGTCCCCTCCACCCCGATCACCCTGTCCTTGTCCCCTTGCAGACATTGACAAAGTCATGATCAACCTCAAGACAGAGGAGTTTGTCCTGGACATGAACACACTCCAGGCACTGCAGCAGCTCCTGCAGTGGGTGGGCGACTTCGTGCTCTACCTGCTGGCCAGCCTGCCCAACCAGGTGCAGTGGTGGGCATGCCCAGCTGCCTCAGCCCTCAGCCCCACCCTTATCCTCACCTTTCCAACCAAAGCCCCTTTCCCCTCCTCTTGCTCCCCTCCCCTCCCCTCCACTCCTTCCTTCCCTAACCCTAACGGGGGTGGGTGGGGGATGGGTCAGGGCTTTGAAATCCCAGCCCTGGGACACAGTTCAGGAATCGGGGTGCCCTCCTGGGCATGTTGGGGTCAGTCTCACCAGAGCCCCACTCTGTGGGCACTGACCAGGCATTTTCTGGGGGCGTCTGGGGGCGTCTGTCCCCCACGCATCCCCTGCCAGGAGTAGCTGGTGTCCCCGGGACTGCACACTAAGTGTGACCTCTGCCTCGCAGGGCGCCCCACTGCGTCCGGGCCACAGCTTCCTGAGGGATGGCACCTCTCTGGGCATGCTGCGGGAGCTGATGGTGGTCATCCGCATCTGGGGTCTGCTGAAGCCCAGCTGCCTGCCTGTGTACACAGCCACGTCAGACTCGCAGGACAGCATGTCCCTGCTCTTCCGCCTGCTCACCAAGCTCTGGATATGCTGTGAGGCTCCCTGCCAGCCTTTTGGGGTTCCCCTACCGTAGTGTAATATCTCAGCCAGAAACAGCTCTGTCTGCCTTCCCACCATTTTCCCAGCTCAGCACAGGTCTAGGCAGGGCTAGGTGACCTTTGGATGTCAGCTCCAATAGGTACTTGTGTGCTTCTGTGTCACCAAGTTGTACATTTCTGGGCAGACAGGCTCTCTTATACCCGCATGCCCAATCAGGCCATCCAGCACTTGCCCCAGAGTTCCTAAATGAAGGACCAGCAGGTCCCTGTTTTAGAAAGGAGGTCACTGGGGCCAGAGACCAGGAGGGACTTTGCAGGCCAGAGCGGGGCCTGGACCTGGTGCACTGCAGTCCCCTGCACAGGTCTGTGTGTGTCCCAGTAGCAGTGGGCAAGGTCTCAGGCCAGCCATCGTGTGACAACGTCCCCTCCCTGCAGGCCGCGAAGAAGGGCCGGCGAGTGAGCCGGACGAGGCCCTGGTGGACGAGTGCTGCTTGCTGCCCAGTCAGCTGCTGGTGCCCACACTGGACTGGCTGCCCGTCAGCGATGGCCTGGTCAGCCGCCTGCAACCCAAGCAGCCCGTGCGCCTGCAGTTCGGCAAGGCGCCTGTGCTGCCTGGCAGCACCCCCACCATGCAGCTGGATGGCCTGGCCAGGTACACCCGCCCCACCCCAGGTTGCATAGCCCCGCACACACCTCCTGCACACTGCCCGAGGGCCTATGCATGTCTGCCCCCCCCATCTCTTCCTTTGGCCTGGGGCTTAGGCTCAGTGGTGAGCACTTGCCTAACATGCACCAGGCCTTGGGTTCTACCCTCTGTACTGAGGAAGAATGAGCCCAGAAACTGCTGGGCTCCCTCCTTCCCACTGCCCCAAGCCCTTTGCACGGCCTCTCCCTGTACCACAGGGTGGGTACCTCAGGCCTGCCCAGCCAGACTTACGCTGCACCATGGTACTAAAGGCGGGGTCTTGGCCAGCCCATCTCACCAGTGGGGAAGCACCCTCCAAGAACACAGTTGCAGCCAGCTGTGGTGGTGCATGCCTGTCATCCTAGCACTTTGGGAGGCTGAGGCAGAAAGATTTCTAGTTCAAACCCAGCATGGGCAGCTTATTCAGACACTGTCTCAAAATTTTTAATAGAGGGCTGGGGGGCCGGGGATTTAGTTCGGTGGTTTTGCTGCCTGCTGTGTAAGCACAAGGACCCGAGTTTGATCCCCGGTACCAAAAAAGAAAATTTTCTCTTAAAGGGCTGGGGATGCAGCTCACCAAAAAGACCCTAGGTTCAATCCAGAGTATTGAAAAAAAGAAAGGTTACTTTCATATTTTTATAGTACCGCAGACCACACCAGGCTTCTTTTCGATCCTGGGTGCAGGGTGTACCCGGTGGTCCATGCTGGCCTGGTGCTGGGTGATTCCAGAGGCACTGGGCTGCCCACTCAGGAACAGGCCTCTGTCAGGCACTGGCCCACTCGGCCCTGCCGAGGGCAGCCGCAGAAAGACACGGTCCACCATTGGCCTCGGACAGAGGCCCTGCCCTGGTCCCCCAAGCCCACCCCTCACTCTCTCCCTGCTCGTCCCCAGGATCCCCGGCCAACCCAAAATCGACCACCTGCGGAGGCTGCACCTGGGTGCCTACCCCACGGAGGAGTGCAAGGCCTGTGCCAGGTACGATCGCAGATGTCCCACAGGCAATGGGCAGGCACGCTCTGGGGTCACTTGTGAGTCGGATGGGCGGGGCATCAGAAGCCCCGCCCATTCCACCTGCCCTGTCCCCAGGTGCGGCTGTGTCACCATGCTCAAGTCCCCCAACAAGACAGCAGTGAAGCAGTGGGAGCAGCGCTGGACCAAAAACTGCCTGTGTGGGGGCCTGTGGCGGAGAATGCCCCTCAGCTACTCCTGACCTAGCCCCGCCGGCCCACAGGACAGTTGCACCCAGATGGGGCCCTAGAATGGGAAGTAGTAGGTGGGGCCAATGATAGGTGCCCAAGGGCCCCAAACCCCACCTGTCTCCAGGGCTTCTGAGACCTCGAAGGGAAGTCTGGTCGGAGCCCATCGGAGCGGTGCGAGTGTAGTTCCAGCACTCAGGAGGCTGAGGCAGGAGGATTGCCTCCAGTTCAAGGTCAGCATGGACTACACTCTAAAAAAGGTCTGGTCGGGCCCTTTAGAACATGCTTGGTGCTCAGCCACATGCCTCGGTTTCCCTCTTGTGCCTGCAGAGCCCATCCCCACTGGGCCTCCAGCCCCAAGGTCACTGGCTGCATCTCCCCCAGGGTCACCGGCTCATGCAGTCAGCCAGCCCTTAAGCAGTTCCCAGTGTGTGCCGAGCAAAGGGGAGGTGGGGTAGGAGGGGCCTTTTCAACTGTCCCCTCTTCTTTCTGCCTTTGTCCTGCTCTGTCCCCCTCCAAGCTGTGGCTCTGAAGCTCAGTCCTAGTTCCCTGGGGGTCCAGCCTTGTGCTACCAACAAGCGCTGTCACAGATTATGTCTCGGTCCCCCGCAGGCTCCAGGCGGAAAGGCTGCTCCAGACACCCTCCCTGGAACACACTAATTGGTCGCTGTCTGCGCCCTGCAGAGCACTGTTGGGCCTGTTCTAGGCCAGCCCCCTGCAGGGTGCCCGCTCGCTGCTGAGGGGGTGCCAGGCTTCGTCTGAGCCTCAATCAGTGTGAAGCCGGGCAGCTGCCGCCCCAGAGCCACAGGCATTGGAGCCTGGTGGGGTGATGGGAAGCGTGGGGGACCATTTGTTCCCACCTGAGTGGCATGGCTGGGCAGCCTTGGGGAGGGTGTGCACACAGATGGGCAGGCGGAGGCCACAACTTCCAATCCCTACAAGTTATTTTTGGCCTTTTACAAAGATCCCGTCATTCTGTCTCCCTTGATGTCATGCTGTTGGTTTACTCAGTTTACCTTCCTCGTGTGGTCCGAGGTCGAGTCTGTCAGGAGTGGCGTCTGTCTCTTGCCTGGGGTCAGGTGGGCACCAGCCCCCACCAAGGCTGACAGGAAGCAACTTCACCCCCTGGGCCTTGGCCTGGAGCCCCAGCTGCCACGCCTGGCATCCCTGCTTTGGGATGGGTGGCTGGGAAACTCCTCCAATCACAGACAAGCTGGCAGGCTGGGGGCCAGGGGGAGGTCACATGGAGGACAGCCGCTGTGGGTGCCATCTGGAATGTTTTTGGTTTTGGGTTTTTTTTTGGTACTGGGGATTGAACTCAGGTCCTTGCGCTTGCGCAGCAGGTGGCGAAACCACTGAGCTAAATCCCCGGCCCTGTGGGTAGAGAATCTTTGTCTTGTGCAAAACCTGAGTAGGGTTTCTGCTAACAGCAGGGTCGGCCTCAGGGCAGATCCCCCAGCCCTTCCCTGTGCAGCCACACGGCCATGCCAGGCAGAGCCTGTGTGGGTGGGAAGTGTCCCAGTGGCCATGTCCACTGTCCCCAGTGCTGTCCCATACAATGTGGGGCACCCTTCAAAATCTGAATTTGAAATAAACCACAGGCATTTTTTGCATACATCCTAAAGGTCACATGGGAAGTATAAAAATCATCCATTGTTGGGCTGGGAATTTAGCTCAGTGGTTCCAGCTCCTGCCTTTCAAACGCAAGGTCCCAAGTTCGATCCCTGGTACCAAAAAGAAAAGCATCCATTATTTATCCCAAAGTTCTTTTTGTATGACTACATATAGAGACAGGGTCTGGCTATAATGTTCTGGCCTGGAACTCACTGTGTAGCCCAGGATGTCCTCACACTTGCGTTAATCCTCTTGCCTCAGCCTCCTGAGTGCTGGGCCTACAGGTAATGCACCACCACAACCAGTTTTTTTTGTTTGTTTTTTTTTTGTACTGGGGATCGAACTTGGGTCCTTGAGCTGGGAGGCATGCGGCGGAACCACTGAGCTAAATCCCCAGCCCCACATCCAGTTTTAAAAGTAAGTTTTTGCCAGGTGCGGTAGTGCACACCTGTAATCCAGCACTCAGGAGGCTGATGCAAGAACTATAAGTTGAAGACCAGCCTGGGCTCTATAGTGAGTTCAGGATCAACCTAAACGCCATAGTTAGAGCCTGTCTCAAATAAATAAATCACAAGGAATTTGTGCACACATTGAAGATGACCTCATGCTTGTCATGAGACAACCCAGCAAATTATGCTCAAGAGCAGGGCTGGGTCTCGGCTGGGTCTGCAGCCCTCAGCACACAGTAGGTGTTCAACAAATGGTTATATATGAAGATGATTCAAAGGGAAAGGCCTCATAGTAGGAACAGAAAACCAGGTTCCAGGTCTGTATCCAGATTTCCCACAGAGCTCGACATCACCTCCCAGACCCAAGGTCTCCACGCATGGGAGCCTCTCTGTGGACCATGCTAAGGTCCTGGGCCTTGGTGCCCTCTCCTCAGCAAGAGGGCCAGGCCTAGGCCTGGTTCTGCCCTCTGTCATCTCCCTGTCAGACAAGATCCAGGGCTGTCAGGGCCTACGGAGCCTCCAGAGGTGTAGCTGCTCCGGACACAACCAGCAGTCTCACTGTGTGACCCCAGCGGCATCCGGCTCTGGGTTCGAATTTGGACTTTGTCCCGGAGCTTTGTCCTGCTCAGGAGAGACTCTCAGGCCCCTCTGAGCTGCAGTTTCCCCTTCTGCCACACAGGTTCAAGGGCACAGTGTCAGAAGGTCACTGCACCAGACAGCTCAAGGTACCCAGAACAAGGTCTGCACACGGCGGGCCCTCACGCTCTGGAAAGAGCAAGGGCGCTTCCGTATGGCAGACGCCCAGAACCTGGCCCGGCTTTGTGCTGATGGGCCCCCCTCCGGGTCTTGCAGACAGCAGGTGCTCAAGAAAGACTAGCTGGACTCAGGTCAAAATGCGTTTATTGTGGAGCTCTTGCTCACAGCCTGGAGTCCCACTCAGGCCGCTGCGCCCTTGCGCAGCACGCTGTCGATCCAAGCTGCATAGCTAGCCACGCGGGTGTAGATACCGGGCTTCTTGAAGTTGCCACAGACTCGGGATCCAGAGGTGACCACGCCCTCGACCACGCCTCCACACACAAGCGGGCCACCGGAATCGCCCTGCGGGGCAGGACCTTCAGAGTCAGGTTCCCCGTGGCACCGCCCTCTCCAGCCCGCCCCCTGTTTAGGCCACGCCTTCCTCCCCAGCTCCACCCAGTCTCGAGCCTTTCTTTTGCAAGCCCCGCCCGTCCCAGGACTCCCATCTCTCAATCCTGGTTCAACCCTCTGTACCAGCCCTGCCCTTCCTTGTCCCGCCCCCCCTCAAGGTTTTCCGCACACCGTAGTCAATATATTTATGGTCCCCGCCTCTTCAGCCCTTCTTGGGCGCCACCCCCTCTAGGCTATGCCCCTTAACGAGCCCTGCCTTCTCCACACGCCCCACCTTTTCCCTGGCCCTACCCTTTCCACGTGACCACCCCTTTCGGACCGGCCTTCACCCGCCTCGCCCACCGATTCTCCCCGCCTCTTCAGCAACCCTGCCTACTCACAGCCTTGCCCCACCTCCGTCCCGCCCTCACCCGCAGCCTCGCCCACCCACACGCCGGGCCAGCAGCCCAGCCGCTCACTTTGCAGCTGTCGCGCCGATTGCTCTCCGCGCACATCATTTGCTTGGTGACGGCGCCATCGTGGTGTGGGCGCAGGTTGCAGGTGGCCCGGTCTACCACCTTCAGGCGCACGTGCTGCAGGCGGTCAGGTCGGCGACCGGCGTGGCTGACCACGCCCCAGCCGGCCACGTCGCAGAGCGTGCCGGGCGCCACGTCGCGATCCTCCCTCTGCAGGGGCAGAGGGCGCACGGCCGGGCCCAGCGCCGCCGGCTCGGGGAGCTGTGGAGGGGGGCGGTGACGTCAGGGGCGGGGCCCGCGCAAGAGGACGCACCCCCTCGAGCCGCGAGGTCCGGACGAGCTGGGGACCCCCGGGACCTAGCGCAACCGGGGAGACATCGCTGACCAGGGCTGACCTGCAGCAGGAGGAGGTCGTGGTCGATGGTGTCGGGACCGCTGTCCGGGTGGGGCACTGCGCGACTCACGTTGTACAGGCGCTTGGAGGGCTCGGGCTGCGATAGGGAGTGCGCGCCCAGCAGCACCTGCACCTTGCCCTCCCTGGGAATCCGGGGGCGGGGTCTGAGGTCAGAACCGTGCCCCGCAAGCCCCTCTCTGCCCCTCCTAATCCCGCACTCACGCCTCCTCCAGGCAGTGCGCTGCGCTCAGCACCCACTGCGCAGACAGCAGGACGCCACCGCACAGGTGTCTGCCGTCCACCTGCACGGATGCCATGTAGGGCCGCGCATGGGCCTCAGCCTCCTGGCCGCCCAGGATCCGACCACGGGGCTGCGCCGCTGTGGTGAGCAGAGGGGTGTGAGGACCAGGATTCACCCCCTCCCCCAGGCTTCCCGGTCCTGCAGCCTCATCGCTCACAGGTGCGGTTCAGAGGAGCTAGGGCAGTGAATGCCCAAGACCGGGCCTTAGCGATTGATGGGTTTGGGCCAAATTCCAGGCCCACACGCTGACGTAAGGACTTCACATTAGACCTAAGAAAAGGGTGTGATTAACCTAATGCCTCTGCCAGCCCGAAGGGCCACGGGCCTGTTTCCAAAGTAAGACTTTAGATTCTTTTTTTTTTTTTTTTTTTGGTACTGGGGTCCTTGCGCTTGCACAGCAGGCGGCGAAACCACTGAGCTAAATCGCCGGCCCAGACTTTAGATTCTTGCAATGTAGGTTCAGGTTTCAAGATTTTACGTTTCAAGAATCTTTAACTTCTTTCTTTTTCGTACTGGGGCTCGAACTCGGGACCTTTCAAGGCAGGGGCCAGAACGACGGAGCTAAATCCCTGGCCCTTTCTTTCTCAATACAGGGTCTCACTATGTAACCCCCAACCCCAGAGCCCACTCACCACACACTGCCGCCCCCAAGAGGAGCAGAGAGGCCAGGCCCGCCATGGTGATCACCGACTGGACACTGATCCTGACGGGGCCCCAGGGGCCTTTTATGGAGGCAGAGGGGGTGGGTCCCTCCCCTCCCAGGGGCCCCATCTGCCTGCTGGGCATCGGCCCAGCTGGGGAAAGGAGAACCTGCCCTCCTGTCCTGCCTCCACCCAGCCCTGTGCTCCCCCAGCTCTGTCTCCCCACTAGACTTACAGACAGGCCAAGGGGTCCCTCCTGCCTGGGGGCCTGGCCAGAGCCCACCCTGGTGGGAGCAGCCCCTGGGGATGGGCAGGAAGGAGGCAGAGAGGAGGCTGGGCCGCCCACCCCAGCCCACATGTCCCCCAGACCACAGTGTCCTTCCAGCCCCAAATTTCACAATAGCAGCTGGAGGCGCAGTCTGTAAACAACTTGCTTCACCCGCCCCTCCCTTCTTCGAGTTCTTTGGGGGAGGGAGTGGAGAGGGGCTCCCTAATGCCCCTGGACCATGCCCCTGTGATCTTGGAGGTGGCCTGGCACCCCAACAAGCAGAAAGTTGCAAAAATGGAATGTAAGCAGGCATAGTAGTGCAGGCCTGTCATCTCAACACTCAGGAGGCTGAGGCAAGAGGATCGCCATGAGTTCAAGACTAGCCTGAACTACATAGTGAGACCCTGTCTCAAAAAGAAAAAAAGAAAAATGATAAAATGTAGCGATAGTTGGAAAGATGGTCAGATACAAGTGATAGAAGAAAACACAAGTGAAATTGGTGTCGACATAACTAAAGAAAGCACAGAGATATCTGCCTTCAGGTATGGTTTGATCCAGGTGCCTGGATGAGGTCAAGCATCCATTTCTGGTTTCTCTTTTCTTCTTCAATGGGTTCTCTGCCCACCACGATCCTCTGTTGTTTCCCCCAGGGGCCCCACACTCACTGTGAGCCCCACCTAAAATTTCCCATGGCCACAGCCAAGTTCTCAGGGCTGCTTCTGATTGGCTGATCAAGGATCAGGTGCTGCTTCCTGAGCTGACCCTGGGGCACAGATTTTGATACCCAGAGCCTGAGTCAGTGGCTCTCTGTGAGATGAGGGTTTGGATTGGCATCTCCCAAGCCCAGGTCAAAGAGAAAGGGTACATCTGGGGATGCCCTGAGACTCCCCAAAGGGGCCGCCCAGTCTCTCTCCCCCTCAGTTTGTCTTCTTTCACCGTGAACTACTCCATATGTAAGATTAGAACATGGTGCATACCTGTGATCCCTGCACTCGGGAGGCTGAGGTACGGGTATGGCAAATTCAAGCCCAGCCTAGGTATTAGCAACCTACTGAGACCCTGTCACAAAAGATAAACTAATAAAATAAAATGGGCTGGGGAGGTAGCTCAGTGTGAAGGCCCAGAGTTCAGCTCCTCGTCCCAAAGAAAAGAAAAGAAAAAATGTGATTGGTCAGAATCTCTCATATTTCCTTATTAAAATCAGAACAGGGCCCGGGATGTAGCTCTGTGGCAGCGCCTGTCTGGCAAGCGCAAGGTCCTAATTTGATCCCCAGTAATCCCTCCCCCCCCCCCGCCCCAATCAGAAGGTCTGGGGGCCGGGAGTGCAGCTCAGTAGTAAAGCACTGGCCTAACATCAGAAGATCTGGAGCACAAGCGTTTTAGGGTAGAACCCAGATTGTGCAAATAAGAATGTTCAGATTGCAGCAGCGCTTGGACGCAGCCCAGAGCCCAGCGAGACATCCAGTCTGTAACTCGCTGCTCCAGGGAGCTGAGGATACCGACAGATCTCCCAGATTCTCCGGGGTGGGTGATCTCCCTCCCTGGAGAGGGAGGAAGGCGCCGCCAGGGGGCAGTGCAGGAAGGGCGGCCCGGTGGGGGGCGGGGCGAGGCCCGGAGGTGCGGGGGGGGGGGCCGCGTGGGCCAGGCCCTGGCTGGGTCCCATCCACAGTGTCCCGGGGTAGTCGGGGTAGCCTCTCTCTCTCTCTCTCTCTCCCTCCCTCCCTCCCTCCCTCTCTCTACCTACTAGGGGTGGACCCAGGGCCTTTGCACTGAGCTACACCCCCCCCAGCCCTTTTTATTTTTTGAGACAAAGTCTTCTTATGCCAAACTTGGCATCCTCCTGCCTCAGCCTCCTGAATAGTTGGGATGATAGGTGTGATGTGCCACCACATCCTGCTTGTACTTTTTCTGTTCAACTGCCTGCTGAGGTGGCACAGGATGACAGGGGCTGTGTGTCACAGTCTCCACCCATGGCCACAGAAGGCTCCTTCATAGACTGCCATTGAGGCCTTGGGGCACTGCTGTGCTGCCCCAAACCCAGGGTCCTAATGAAGGCCCCTCTCAGCACCTCACCCCCTCTGTGAAGCAGGGGCCCTGCTGGCATCGGTCAGAGGCACTGGAGAGGTCTGGATGCCCATGCTGTGGACTCAGAAGGACACCTGAGCCCCATCCTCGAGCCTCTCCCACATCCTGCTGGCCTCTCTAATCTTATGTGAAGTGGGATTTTTTTTGTTTTGTTTTGTTGTTTGGTTCTTTTACAGTGCTAAGCCTAGAACCCAGGGCCTTGTGCATACTAAATGCCCTACCCCTGAGCTACATCCCCAGTCCTTTTTATTTTGTATTTTGAGAAAAGGTCTTCTAAGTTACCCAGGCTGGCCTCAAACTTGTGATCCTGCTGCCTCAGCCTCCATAACGCTGGGATGACAATCATGAGCCACCACATCTGGTGAAAGAGAGTTTTATAGAACGGAAACCAGAAACAGCATCCTGGATCCTTTTGTGAAAAGTGGAGAAGTCGGTCTGGTGGTGCATGCCTGTAATCTCAGCACTCTGGAGGCTGAGGCAGGAGGATCACAGCAAGTTCAAGGGCAGCCTGAACGACCTAACTTAACAAAACAACAAAAAGTGAGAGTGAGGGAAAGACTGGTTTCTTTTCCCGGCCCCACCCTGTGGCTGCTACTACTTGGTGGCAGTGTACTAGCGACGTCCCAGCCACTGTAGGACCATTCCCCACGGGCGATGGCACCACCAACAGGGACACCAGACTCGTTCTACAAAACAGTGGGGCTTTTATTGTACCAGGCGTGGTGGGGGGGCAGAAGTGGCCCATTCCTAGAGGGTCCTGCTCATGGGGACTCTGGGGTGGGGCCGGGGGTCCTGCTGGCCTCTGCGGATGATGGAGTTGATCCAGTCTATGAACTCTGCCACCGGGGCAAAGGCGTCTGGGTAGAGGCCGGAGCCGCAGCCGCCGCGGATGAAGGAATCGATTCCTTGGACCAGCCCGTTGCAGACCAGGGGGCCCCCGGAGTCGCCCTGCGGAGGGATCAGGGGCTGGACCACATGTGTGGCCTCCCGCCCGCCCGCCGCCCGCCGCCCTGGAAAGGCCGGGAAGTCTGACCGCGGTCCCGCCTGCTGCGGCCGGAAGGGGGCGGGGACTCACGAAGCAGATGCCGGCCCGGCGCTGCGGCACCAGGGTGCAGACGTTGACGCGGCGGCGACACTGGGACGTCACCACAGTCACGTTGAGCTCCTGCAGGATGCTCGGCGCCGGGCGGTTCGTGCCCAGGCGGCCCCAGCCCATGGCCAGGCAACGCGCCTGGTTCTGTACGCCGCGGCCCTGGGCGGGTAGCCGAGCTACCTGGACGTTGGAGTTGACCCTGGCCGACCCGTTGAGCTATGGGGGGCATCAAGCGCCAGGGCGTCACGCGGGAGCGTGGGCAGCTTCCCTCCCTGCACCGGGGCTCCATTTCCCTATCTGAGGCTGCTCTGTGCTTCTCGTATCTTGCACTGCAGGACCCCACCCCGAGCCTCAGTTTCCCCATCTGCAAAGTGGGAGCTCACGGTGCGGTTGGGGCTGTCTTTGAGTGCAATAAACAGGAGGCGCCCAATAAAACAAATTACAGGCTGGGCCGGGGATTTAGCTCAGTGGCACCACGTCTGCCTTGCAAGCGCAAGATCCTGAGTTCGATCCCTGGTACCTCAGAAAAAAAATGGGGTTTTTTGCGGGGGTGCGGGGTCAGCACAGGGAAGAATTTCTGCCTCAGTCTCCTTCCTGCCTTAATAAAGATGAGATTTTTAGCACATTTCCCAAAGACTGGCACAGGGTCCACCCCAGCCACAGGGCTGGTAAGCAGGGGAGGGAAAATACAGTCTGCCAAAATATGTATACACACTTCAGCAGTTCGCTGATTTTAAAAATGTCTGGAAGCTAATGGCCACTACCTTGAGCACGTCTTGCAATTGTAGAGGCCAAAGGTAACTCGTATCAATCGCATGATGTCTCAGTAAATTTAGTATTAAAATACTTTTACAAGTTTTTATTTGCCTGATGCATACAATTTTTGGCAGACTCTGTAACAATGGTTTGTCAGCATGTGTGGTGCCAAAGGCCTGTCATCCCAGTCTCCCCGGGAGCCTGAGGCAGGAGGATTGGTAGGAATTCAAGGCCAGCCTGAAGTACATAGCGAGACTCTGTCTCAAAAAAAAAAAAAAAAAAAAGTTTGTTGATTGACAACTTCTGGGAGCTTTCCTACAATATCTCACTTAATTCCTCAACAGCCATCCAGAGACAGGTTAGCCTCCCATTTCAAAGGTTCAGAGAGAGGACAAGCCATCCTACTACCATTGTATCTATCATTCTGGACCCCACAGTCTGACCCCAGCATGTCCCCCAGCCCACTTCTGGGCCCTCCTCCACCTCAGCACCTCGAGAATTACGATGTCATTGAGCAAGAGCGTGGGGTCGAAGCCGTTCTCAAAGATCCGCTGGACACCAAAGGTCTGCCGGGTCCGCTCTCTCCGCCTCAGGTCATGCGCACCCAGTACCACCTGCACTGATCTGAAGTTTCTACAGGGTGGGGACAGTGGGTGACCCTGGGGGGCTGGGGTAGCAAGGGGACCTCAGAGACCCACCTTGCCCTGCCTGGGGTGCAAGGGGAGTTCTTCCTTCCTGGCGCCTCCTGGCCTTGTGCACGACTGTCATCCCAGCACTGGGGAGGCTGAGGCAGGAGGATCACTGTGAATTTTAGGCCAGGCTGGGCTACATAATGAGTTCAAGGCCAGCCTGAACTACACAGTGAGACCCTGTGTCCTCTCCTGGGTTCGGAGGAGCCTTGGTGGCCCCTGGGGGCTCAGGGCAGGCCCCAAGGGATCCCACCCTGTGGGACTCGAGGTCCCTGGGGACTCACAGGCCGTTCACGCAGTGCGCAGCTGACATCACGAAGTTCCTGGCGATCAGGGTCCCACCACAGAAGTGGCCTCCGAGCCGCTGCAGTGATGCCATGTAGGGCCTGGAGTGGGGCCGTGCTGGGTGGCCACCCACGATGTCTGAGGCCAGCGCAGGGCCTGGGGACACAGGATGAAGAAATTGAGGCACAGGGAGAGGAAGACACCAGATCTGTGCCCTCTGCTGAGGCTCAGCCATGTCAGAGCCCCAGGAGGGCACTGGGAAGCCCTGGTTTACAAACTCCCACTGTGGGCTCCTCCGCTGGGAACCTCTGTCTCATTTTGCAGATTCTCATCCTAGCTGCTGCCGCCCACGAGGACCAGGGCCCCAGGCAGGCATCGGGGAAGGACCCTGGGGACAGGTGGGAGCAGGTGCCACTCACCGCCCAGCAGCAGGGCCAGCAGCACATAGGTGAGGGCAGGGCTGGGTGCTCCGTGGCCTTGAGTCATGGTGGGGCCAGGATTCCAGGGTCTCTGGCCCACCCTATCCCACCTTCCCTCTTATAGCTGGGGCTGGGAGGCCGTTGCATTGCCCCATGGGGGCTGGTAGCCCCACTTCCTCTCGGGGTGCAGAGTAGGCTGAGGAGCTAGGTTACTGCATGGAGCTGGGGGGCCCCAGATGGAACCCAAGGCACACAAAAACTTGAACGTTGGGTAAACAGTCTCTTTCTTCCTTCCTTTCTCTCTCTCTTTCTCCTCCTCCTCCTCCTCCTCCATCTTCTTCTTCTTCTTTTTTTGTTTGCTTGTGACAGGGTCTTGCTATGCAGTTCAAATGGCCTTGAACTCACTGTGTGGTCCAGACTGGCTTCAAACTCATGGCAATCCTCCTGCCTCAGCCTCCTGAGTGCTGGGATTATAGGCGTGCATCACCACGCCTAACAGCCTTTTCTTTACTCTAAGTCAGTCCCCAGTAATGCACAGAATGTACTACTTATCTACAAATTTAGTCATTGTTAGGGCACTGCGGGACTGATCTGTCATCCCAGCTGCTCAGGAGGCTGAGGCAGGAAGACTGTAAATTGGAGCCCACCCTGGGCAACTCAGGGAGACCCAGTCTCAAAATAAAAAATAAAAATGCTGGAGGTGCTGTTCAGTGGTGAGCACTTGCCTAGCACATGGGAGGCTCTAGGTTCCACCCCCAGTGCAAACACACACACACACACACACACACACACACACACACACACACACACGACCATTGTTTATCTAGCATTCAGATGTAACTGGGAATCCTGTATTTTTGCTAACCTGGACCTGAGAGACTCTGACAAGTCCTCTCCTCAGTTTACCCAGGGGACTACAGCAACATCAACAGATGACTGTGCTAAGCATTCCTGGTGCTGTTGCTGACATTTCTCTGGGGCATTCTGTTGGGCTTCCATTTCAGATGAGGAAACTGGCACACCTAAAGCCCGGCCCAGGCAGCATAGCCCCCGTCACCTCTTTTTGAGGGGAGGTACTGGTGGTTGAAGCCCAGGTCTTCCCCCTGAACTACATCCCTAGTCCCTTTTTTTTTTTTTTTTTGGTACCAGGGATCGAACTCTGGTCATTTGCGCTTGCACAGCAGGCGGCAAAACCACTGAGCTAAATCCTCAGCCCTCCCTAGTCCCTTTTATTTATTTTGCAACAGCTCTTCCTAAGTTGCTCAGTTGCTCAGGCTGGGCTGGAACCTGTGATCCTCCTGCCTCAGCCTCCTGGAGTGCAGGAACTGTGGTTTTAATGCAGGCCACGGGACTCACAGCTGGATGGCACACCGAGCCTGGCACAGGCCCCAGCCCCACTGGGCATCTCCCCAGCCTTTGTCTCCCTCTGATGTCTTTGGCTACAGCTCAGCACAGGGAGCTGAATCCCAGAAGCTGCCATCCCCCTGGCCTCCCTGGGCTACATTTAGCCCCATCACTGTCCCCACTGGAGTGGTGGCCCGGCCGGTGCCAGGACAGATGCACCCAGGCCTCAGGGGATCCACCTGGAGCCAGGAGGGCACAGGTTCCTGGCAGCCAAGGCTGTTACAACACCAAGGTCCCCTGAGCGAGCAGGGCAAGGACCAGGGAGGGATCCAACGGATGGGCAGGGCATGAACGGGGCCACCAGAGCTGGGGGAGGCTGGAGTGTTTGTCCCTGCATGCCCCCTGCACCAACCCCCATAGCTCTCTGGACGGATAACCGCCACCCTCTCTTTCCAAGCCAGGTACCCGCAGGTGCCCAATGTCTGCCCCTTGTCCCTGGCTTGCTCAGACACTTGCTAAATGGTATTGACTTCTCCTCTTTGGGCAGGGACCTTCAAGGCTGTGTTGAAGTCACCGCAGAGCACTTAGTAGGCACCTGCTGTATTCATGTTGGAGTTGCTCGGGGGGTGGGTTGGGAGAGGCCACCTTTGGGAGGGTTTGGTTTGGATAAAGAGGCCACCCTTAAAGGCAGCTGCATCTATTGAGCACCACCTGTATACCACATTCATACACAGCGTGATGGTTGTGTGTTGACTCTAGGTTCATATCCTGGTCACCTCTGCGTAACTTCAGGCCACTGAATTGATCTATGTGACTCAGTTTCTTCCTCTGTAAAATGGGGCCCATGAAAATAGGCTTAATCTCATAGAACTGCTGAAAGTTCCATGAATTAGCACTTGGCAAGCTCTTGGGTTGTCCGTGAGGCTCTCTTAAATGTTCCTGGGTGTGCTGGGTGTAGTGGTGCACACCGCTAAACCCAGCACTCGGGAGGCTGAGGCAGGAGGATCACCACAAGTTCAAGGCCAGGCCCAACTACATATGCTGTTTCAAAAAAAAGAAAAGGAAAAAAATGTTCCTAGGCTCAAAGGGTAGGATCAGAGAGTTACCCATATCTAAAGAGTCACCAAGCCAAGCTGGTGAGTGCCTGTTATCCCTGTATTCTGAGAAGCTGAGGCAGGAGATCGCAAGTTCAAGCCTATCCTGGAAACTTAATGGAGAGAAACCATCTCATTAAAAAGGCGGGGAGCTCAAGCTCTTGGCTGAGCCCACAGGCAAGGACCCCCCTCCTGGGGTGCTGCAGAGCCCTCACTGGTGCCAAGCATCCTGTTTCCTATGCCTGTGGTTTGCCGTGCCTGAATTTCAACACCCTTGGCTGACATCTGGCACATCAGTCCTCCATCCGGGACCCCCAAGCCCCAGGTCTGCCCCGGGGCTGAGCTTCCTTCTCGAACCTTCCTCTGAATCATCCTTACTCAGGAGGCCAGAAAAAATCGTTTGGGTTTTTTTAGGTGGGGTCTTTCTTTTTTATGTTTGTTGGGGGGGGCTGGAACCCAGGGCCTTGTGCATGCTAGGCAAGCGCTCACCACTCAGCCCCAGCCCTTTTTGAATTTTATTTTGAGACAGGGTCTTGCTACATTGCCCAGGCTGGCCTTGAACTTGCAATTCTCCTGCCTAGCCTCCCAAGTAGCTGGGATGACAGGTGTGCGCCACCACATGTAGCCACCTCCAGCCCCTTTTTCAGTCTTTCTGTCCTGTCAATGAAGTCACCCTGACTTCCCTCCAGCAAACCTCTTTATCTCTGCTCCCTAATGCTGGTTATCTAAAGGTCCCCATGGGCCATCACACCCTCCCTAGGGCCCAGCGCCTCTGCACAAGTTTGGTTCTCATCCTCCTGCTTGTTTTACAAAAGTCACAGCTAGGCCAGGGATTTAGCTCAGCAGTGCTGTGCCTGCCTCCCAAGCACAAGATCCTGAGTTCAATTCCCCAGTACCAGGAAAAAAAAAAGTCACAGCTTCTGGGTTGGTGGAGTGGTGAGCAGCAGAGAAAAAACTTCTCCAGGGCTTGGTGTCCTGACCCTGGAATATAGCAACATGGGGAGTAGAAAAAGGAGGGAAGTGGGTTCTCCAGGACCCAGGAAGAATCTGAGTTGAGAATTGAAGTCCACAGGGAGAGGCAAGAGAGAGGCTTCAACAAAGAAGAGGGAGATGGTGGGCAGAGCTTTGTCCCAGAGTCCAGACTCATGATGTGGGAAGGGCGGGTCAAACCTCAGACACCTGGTGACTACTGGTGACCCCTGAGGCCTCCACAAAGAAATGCACCAGTGGAACGGAGCAGTGAATGCAGCGGACTACAGTAGCTGGTGAGTTATTCGGGTTCAGACATCACCCAGGAGAGGGTGATTTGGCGGTAGCCATCTTGGAGAGGATGGGCCAGTTGAGCTCAGAACTCAGAACAGCTACAGGCCAGCTTGACCTAGTGGCTCCTGGTGTTTTGGTGAGGGTTCTGAGTACAAGTGGGCAGGAGGCCAGGGAGCAGAGTTCAAGCCAGCAGGAGGCACATGGACTGTGGCAGACTCAACAAATCCAGTCCCAGACTCATAGCCCAAAATCAGCCTGAACTTCAGTGGAATTAAAGGTCTAGGCTTGCTGGAATTATCCACTCCCTCACCATAAATCAATGCCTGGCTTGCTGGAATTAAATGACTTGGATCTGGATTCTGTCTGCCTGTATTGTCTACCAGTGATGGCAAAGGCATACCTTGAATTGGACTTTTTTTCTTTTCTTTTCCTCTTTTTTGGTTTTTGTTCTTGCTCTGTTTTATTTTTTCCTGATTGTTTGTTCTTGTTTTTACATGAGTGTGATCACAGTTTCAACTTTCTATGTTGTAGTTGCTCTATTCTGTTCTTGTTTTTATTTCTTCCTTTTGTCTTTCCCTCCTGTCTTCTTCACCAGTTTCCCAAAGTTTGTATGATCTTCCTTTATCCTCCAGCCTTGCTTCTACACACTTCTTCTATTTCTCTATTTTCCCTCAACCCATTCTAAATCTTCTCCCCTTAGGGTAAAATCACCGTATGAAGGGCTTTTTTTTTTTTTCTCTGTACCAGGGATTGAACTCAGGACCTTGCACATGCAAGGCAGGCGGCAGAACCACTGAGTTAAATCTCCAGTCCCATGGAGGGCTTATTTATTGCATACAGTTATCTAGTTTGTTCTATTCTGTTATGTAACCACTAATCTAGTTCAGACTGTTAAATGTGGCAAATTAATAGTTACCTCAGAAGGAGAGACCATGGCATCTGTAGAACTCATCAAATTAGAGAGCCAGGCCGGGGATTCAGCTCAGTGGCACCGCGCCTGCCTCACAAGCACAAGGTCCTGAGTTCAGTCTCCGGTACTGGAAAAAAAAAATTAAGAGAGCCAACTCCAGGAACCACTAAAACCATTAGAATTTCATCTTTACAATTCTGTTTGTCTAAAGCCACTCCTGGTGCCCAAACCTGTATCAGTCAATGCTTACTAGAGAAACAGATTTAATACAAGATATATAAGTAAATAAAGATTTACAAGATTGGCTTAGCCAGGTGTGGCGGCTCAAGCCTATAAAACCAGCACTCTGGAGGCTGAGGCAGGAGATTCATCATGAGTTCGAGGCCAGCCTGGACCGCATACCCTGTTTCAAAAAAAAAAAGAAAGATTGGCTTAAATTGGCTGCCCACACTGCTAGGTGTGGAAAACTGCAACAGTGTTGTCTGTGCCCTGGAGATATGAAGCATCCAGTTGAAGGCCTGGAGCTCACTGCTGCATCCCCTGCAGGTCTATATAGGAGATTGAGGGTCTGTGATGAAAGCCAGGAGACGACACTCAGAGTGAAGCTGAAGACTGGAGCACCTCTAAAGAAACAGAAACAGCCTCCTTTATTTCCCTTCTATTCCATTCAAACACCAAGCCTACTGGCTGCTGTCACTCACATCTAGGCTGGGTCTCCTTTTTTTCCTGTTTTTTTCCTTTATTTTATTTTATTTATTTATTTATTGGTACCCGGGATGGAACTTGGGACCTTGCCCTTCCTTGTAAGGCAGGCGGCAGAACCACTGAGCTAAATCCCTGCCCTCCTTTAGTCAATTAAATTAATTAATTATTTTAATTATTTTATTTATTTATTTATTTATTGGTACCAGGGATTGAACTCGGGTCCTTTTGCTTTCAAGCCAGGCGGGGGAACCACTGAGCTACATCCCCGGCCCCTATTTATTTATTTTAGACATTTGGTCTTGGCATATAGCTGGCTGGCCTTGAACTTGAGGCAATCCTCCTGCCTCAACCTCCCGAGTTGCTGGGATTACAGGCATGCGTCACCACACCCGGCCCCAGGGTGAGTCTTCTGTCTTCAGTGATTCCCCACAGCCACAGGAAGGACTATCACCCACCCCAGGGAGGATTGGACCCAGAATGGTATAAAAGGGAAAGGAAGGAGGACAGCTCACTTCTGCTCCTTCTGAAGAGCTCCAGTCTTTGCCTTCACCTTTGACATTGTCTCCTGGCTTCAGTGGAGACTCTTCTGCCTTCCATCTTCCTGCTTCAGCCTCCCAAGTAGTGGGATTACAGACATGCACCATCACCATGCCTGGCCCACTCAAGAAGTCTCCTGGGCTCAAAGGTGTCTGGGTCGCACCAGCTTCCTGCCTCAGGCCTGTGTGCAGAAGAGGAAGAGAGATTGGTCTTCAGAGTCTGAGGAGGAGCTGCTGGGTCTCTTCAATAGAGGCCTTAGGCTAACACCCTACTTCCAGCCTCCGCTGCCTGTCCAGAAGCCAAAGGATGCCTCATTTGCAGATTCAGAATCAGAGATGGAACAGGAGGAGAGTCCCCAGGGGGGTTCTGACTCAGCCCTGAGGGGGAACCCCAGCCTCACCTCAGTCCTGTGGCTATGAGTGGAAGAAGGCATGGTCACCAGAGGAGGATGAGGAGGGGCGACGTCCCCTGTGCATGGGCGTAGCTCCCAGGGAAGACAGCAGGCTCCCACTTTGAAAGAGGTGGAGGGGGCATCTGTGCCTGTTGGGAAAGGAGCAGCAGGTACCATCATGACAGCTAGGCCCTGTGGCTTCAACCCACACAGGTGTTGTGGAGCAGCCTCAGGGCCCCAAGAAGAAGTGGAAGAGGAAGCACCTGTCCTCAATGCTGCCTGAGCACCATGAGGCCTTCACCAGGCTGCTCAAGGACCCCGTCATCCAGAGATTTCTGGCCTGGGACACAAACCTGAAGGCCTCTGACAAGGACCTCCTGGCCATGGTCATCACCTACTTCAGCCAGGCCGGCCTCTTCCCCTGGCAGTTCCAGAGGACCCACGTCTTCCTGGCGCTCTACCAGGCCACAGACATGGTGGAGGAGGACAACCAGGAGCCTAAACTACACACGTTCTTCTTCCTCTATGGGATGAATTTCAACAAGATTCCCCAGGTCCACAATCTGTGCTACCAGTTCATCGGCTGCATGGACTGGAACTTCAGGGTGACCCGAGAGGACTGTGAGGAGATCCAAGCTTACAACCTACGCTCTGGGTGTGGGGCCGAGATTGTACCCTCATCCCAGGACCCTGGAGCCCTGAGGACATCGACCTCAAGAAGAGGAGCAATGGGCCCGGGGATTTAGCTCAGCGGTTCCGCCGCCTGCCTTGCAAGCGCAAGGACCCGAGTTTGATCCCCAGTACCAAAGAAAAAAAAAAAGAAGAGGAGCAATGGCCCAGGGGAGCAATGAAGCAGAAGCACCTCAGCGGATCTCCCAGAGCCAGGGAGCCCATGGTGAGACCATGGGGGACGAGTCCCCCTCTGACACCAAGTTTCCCGTGACTTAGAAGTTGGACATCTGCTATTTTTATAGATTTGGTTCCCCGTAGTCTTGGTAGCAGTTGGAGATGCCCTGTAGAGTGTCAGGGAATTACTTAAAATATAACAATAGGTCCATAGGCATGTCAGAGATTCCTTTACTACATAGTATAAACTGTACTGGTTTATTGTAAATTTTTTTTTTAGTACCAGGGATCGAATTGAGGACCTCGCACTTTCGAGGCAGAGTTTATTGTAAATTTTTCCCAGAGAAATATTACTATGTATATTTGAAGTAATAGTGAGATAGTATGCATACTTGTATTCCTCTTACATTGTTTTGATAGGTATTTTAACTGATAGATGTACACACTTTGTCTTTAGAGAGGTTTTTATCGTATGTATTATAGTTTCTTTTCTTTTTTTTTTGAACCAGGGATCAAACTCAGTTCCTTGTGCTTGTGCAGCAGGCGGCAAAACCATTGAGGTAAATCCCCGGCCCATATGTATTATAGTTATACGTGCCTTATGCTCATAGCCAAGTGGTAGTCCCCTCAAAACCACCACCCCCGGAAGCAGGGATTGAACTCAGGACCTTGCACTTGCCAGGCAGGTTCTGACACCACCGAGCTAAACCTCAGGCCCAATCAAACTCTTGTAAATATACATGTTGAATGGCTTCACTCGTGAATCTGATGTGCAAAAGAGCAGTGGGTGCTAACAGAAACGTGTGTACTTCTCGTGTTTTACGGAGGACAGGGCCATGCTGCTCTTGGGGATGGACAATAAATATGAGCTATCTTCTCAAAAACAAAAAAATCACAGCTTCCCTCCTGTGTGGTCAGTTGAGATTTTATTTATTTATTTATTTGGGGTTTTTGTTTGTTTTCGGTACTGGGGATGGAACTCAGGACCTTGTGCTTGCTAGGCAGGCTGCAGCACCCTTGAGGTAAATCCCCAGCCCTTTATTTGGTTTTTTTGTTTGTTTGTTTGTTTTGTTTTTGCTTTTGTTTTTTGGTACTGGGGATCGAACTCGGGACCTTGCGCTTGCGAGGCAGGCGGCGGCACCACTGAGCTAAATCCCCGACCCCTTTATTTGGTTTTTTTGAGGCAGGGTCTCCCTTTGTGGTTCAGCCCCCCCCCCCCCCCCGCGAACCCACTATGTAGCCCAGGCTGCCCTCGAATTCTCAGCCGTCCTTCTGCCTCCCGAGTGCTGGGATTAATAGGCTTGTACCACCAGGCCCGGCTTGTCCGTCAAGGTTTTTAAAGACTTGGACAAGCGGCAGGCCTGGGCGTTCTTGCTCCCGCTTCAATCGGTACCGCTGCCACCAGGTGGCAGCAGAGGAGCCGGCCTGGAAGGCTCTGCCTTCCACAGAAACCCAGCCCCTCTCCTGAATTTACTCAGCGCAGACCCTGGCGACGCCTCCAGGAAGCCCACCTGCCTGCCCAGGCTGGACCAGGGGCCCACGGTCCCCTGGGACGTCCCATAACCTCTGGAGCTGGGGGATACAGAGTCGAGCCCCGCAGGCCAGGATGGGGTTCCGTGGCCAGTTCCAGGACGATCGGTGGGATCCCCTTTTCTAGATGTGGACGCTGATCAGGGCACAGAGTTGGGAAGCAGCTCCTCCTGGGCCGCACGGCACATCTGCGGGCGTCAGAAGTGAGACCTCCGCTCCACCCCGTCCTGAGTGGGCTGGGCAGCTCCCTGTGTCCCCACGCAGAAGGAAAGAAGGGACTGACAGGAGGTGGTGGGGGTTTCGACCTTTATTGACTTCGCACGGACAGAGGACAGCGCTGGGCCCGGAAGGAAGGAGCCTCCTCCCTGGAGGTGCTCTCTGTTCAAAGTCCCCGTTAGGGCCAGGTGGCGCCCGCGGGGGCCCGGGCCCGGGCTGTGCGCAGCACTGAGTTTATCCAGTCCGTGTACAGCGACACCCGCGCGAAGAAGTCTGGGAACTGGCGCGTGGCAGACGCGCGGATCACGAAGGAGTCCACGCCCTGCAGGACGCCGTCGCAGATTAGGGGGCCTCCTGAGTCTCCCTGGGGTTGGGGGGTACACGGAACAGGCTGGTCAGTTCCCACGCCAGGCTGAGGTGGCTGGGATGAGGCATGAAGGTGGCCAGCGAAGGACAGCGGCATTTATTAGTCTCCTGCTGGATACCTGGCTTCTGGGCGGGTCACCCACTCCCGTGCTCTGAGGGGTGGTGGAGGAGAAGCCCCCAGGCCCTCAAAGGCGGCAGCTGGAGGGTTCACTCTATTCCAGCGAGGGGAGGCTGTCCCAGGCACACCCTCACCGACCTTTTAGGGAGCCTGAGGCTCAGCGTGGAATTGGGGTGAGAGGGTAGGCCGGAACCTCGCCCACCGACCACGCCCATCCGCTGACCACGCCCCCACCACGCGGCCACGCCCCCACCATACGTACGAAGCAGGTCCCCGCGCTGCGCCGCGGCACCAGCGTGCACACGTTGTGTGGCCGACACAGGAAGGTGACCACGGTCACGTTCAGCTCCTGCAGGACGCGGGGCGTCGGCGCGCGGGTGCCCAGGCGGCCCCAGCCCATGGCCAGGCACCGGGTGCCCTGGGACAGTGGCTGGTTCTGCTGGGGGAGCCTGGCCTCCGCCACTGCAGCGCCGAGGGAGGCCGGGTGGTCCAGCTGGAGTGGAGGGGGCGAGAGGGTGAGGGGATGTCCCCAGCCTCCCCCAGGGTCCCCGTCCGTGCCTCCACCCAGCTCTCCTCTCCCTCGATTCCCTCTGTAGCATTTGCCATTTGTGGAGCACTTATTGAGTGGCAACTGTATACTGAGTCCCATTTTGAGCCCCAACGAGGGCTCCAGTAGTGAACAATTCAGACAAAATCCTCCAGGGGTAGTCTGTCATTCGCGGAGCTGGGAAGACCCCCTGAATTCCGCGATGGGGAACAGATCAGGGAGGGGGAGTGTCACCTGGATCCAGGAGGTGAGAGGCGGCCCCATCGGGAAGGTCTCTGGGCCCACCTCTCAAAAGAGGAGACGCCAGGGTACCCGGGAACACTGGGCTGTCTGCCACAGAGGCCTGGTATGCAGTAGGCGCTCCATAAGTGCCCACCTGTAGGAGCAGCACGTCGTTGAGGTTGTCCTCCGGGTCGTAGTTATTGGAGAACACCTGGCTGATGGTGAATCGCTGCTGCTCTGGCTCCGAGCTTTGCAGGTCGTGGGCGCCCAGCACTAGGGTCACCAGGTGGGCGGGGCTGGGGAGGTTGGGGAGTCCTCTCTGGGCCTCTGTGTCCCCGCCCCCCATCACCGCAGGCACCAGAGAGAGACCCCTGCCTGGGACATGACCCATACCGCTGCCCCGGGACAGGGCACTCACATGTCCTGCAGGCACTGGGCGGCCGTCAGCACAAAGCTGGGGTGGATCAGGGTCCCCCCGCAGAAGTGGCTCCCTGGCGTCCGGCTCAGCTGTAGCGATGCCATGAAGGGCCGCGCGTGGGGTCGCGCCTCCCGGCCACCCACGATCTCCACGGCCCTGGCTGCCCCTGGGGGGAGGGGTGGACATCAAGGCCAAGGCTCAGCAGCGGGGCACTAAGGGGCCCCAGGCTGCTGTATGATCGCCAGCACACCCTGTACCTCTCTGAGTCTTGGTCTGCCAGTCTGCATATTGGGCTGTGATCGCTTCCAGCACCCCACCCCGCGAGCCTCGAACTCAACAGGATCCTTCTGCCTCAGCCTGGTAAGTGCTGGGATCACAGGCATGTGCACCACGTGTGCACCGGCTTTTTCTTCTTTAAATTTTTTTAAAGTACTGGAAATGGAACCCAGGGAATCTTAAGTTACTCACCTGAGTCCTGAGATGCATACGTAGGGTTTCTTTCATTTTTAAAATTTTACTTAATTTTTGAAGAGCAGGGCCTAAAATCCCAGCACTCTGAGAGGCTGAGGCAGGAGGATGACAAATTTCTCCCCACCCTGGACAACAATTTTGTTTGTTTTTTGAGACAGGATCTCACTATGTAGTCCAATATTGCCTCAAACTGGTGGCAGTCTTCCTGCCTCAGCCTCCTGAGTACTGGGATAACAGGTATGTGCCACCACACCAGGCCAAGCCTGTGTAATTTGTGTAATTAATGACTTAGCAAGACTCTGTCTCAAAATAAAAAATAAAAATAAATTTTACAAAGGGATGGGGATATAGCTCAGTGCAAAGGCGCAAGTACCCCCCCCACACACACACATGCACACGCACACAAAAGCCTGGCCTGGTGATGCATGCCTGCAATCCTAGCACTTGGGAGGGTGAAGCAGGAAGATTGCTGTGAGTTCTTGAGGTCATCCTGGACTACATACTGAGACCCTATCTCAGAAAAACAAAAATCAAACGAACAAAAAACAGGTGGTAAAACCAGTCACGGGCCAGGGATTTAGCTTAGTGGTTCCACCACCTGCCTCGCAAGCACAAGGACCTGAGTTCCATCCCCAGTACCAAAAACAAAAAACAGTCAAATCACCTAGGGCACTCGGTCCCCCACCTCACCCAAGCAGCTAACAGCATCCTGCCTCAGTTTCCTAGAGGTGACAGAGGATAATCCCCCTGTCCCCAGTCAGCTGCCTGCAAGGACAGGCCACTCACCGGCCAGGAGCAGGAGGAACAGGACAGAGGCGAGGGCCATGCCTGGCTCTGGGTCCCCGCCAGGCTGGGCCCCTCTTATATGTGACACACGTGGAGCTGTTCGTTGCTCCACAGCTGGGCTGAGTGGCCCCACTTCCTCCTCTGCCTGGGGCTGGCCTTGGGCATTAGGGTCAGAGTGCATCCTGGGAGGACCCGAAGCTTCAGAAGTAGGGTCCTGCCCCACCCTGGGGGCCCAGCAACATGGACACAAGGAGGCCCAGCTTAGTGGGAAGAGATCAGGACACAGTGCCATGTGACCCCCAAAGACATCTTCCTGTCCATCTCTGGTTTTGAGGATTCCTCTGCCTCAAAAGAGTGATCCTAACTAGGTGTGATGGCACAGCCCTGTAATTCCAGCACCTAGGAAGCTGAGGCAGGAAGATCGCCATGAGTTTGAGGCCAGCCTGGGCTGCATAGTGAGACCCTGTCTCAGAAAAACATACAACAGGGCCAGGGATTTAGCTCAGTGGTTTCGCCGCCTGCTGTGTAAGTGCAAGGACCCAAGTTCAATCCCTGGTACTAAAAACAAACAACAAAAAAAACCACACAACAAAATGAAAAATAAAAAGGGCTGGGAATGTAGCTCAGTTGGAAGGTCCTGGGTTCAGTTCTCAGTATCACACACACACACACACACACACACACACACACACACACACACAGAAAGTTTAAACCTACAGAAACAGAGAAAGAAGAGGTCACTGAATTTGGGGACCGACATGTTTGTCTTCCGTTAGCTGTTGGTTGGAATTGATTTCCAGCACACAGAAGCAGCCTTGAGTGCCCTGGGATCCCCCCCCACTTCCCTGAACGTTGTCCCCTTATGCAACCGCAGGGCCCTGATGGTAACCAGAGCAATGACCTCTCCCCATCCCTCGAGTTCCCGGGCTTTGGGCCCAGGACCCCACACTGTGTTGTTCTCTGTCACTTTGGGTTCTGGCTGAGACCCTCCTCTTCCTAGTGCTCTCTAGACTGGGCTGTGACCACCTCTCAGTCCCCAGTGAAGAAGAGGACCCGGCTGACCTTGAGCCTGAGTCTCCTGTGCGCCTCCCTAACTGAGGGTCCAGCCCCATTTGGAATTAGCTATGGTTCCCTTGTGAGGCTCTCCCAGGGCAGAAGACTGTTCTGACTTCAGGGATCTGGGACCAAATTTCGTTCCTTGGACATCAGTTGGTTGGAATTTTCTGACACCTGCCCCTTCTCCCTTATCTGAATTTTTAATTTTTTGAGCATGAGCTTGTTTTGTTTTAAAAACAAGGTCTCACTATGTAGTGCAGGCTGGCCTTGAACTCATGGTGATCCTCCTGCCTCACCCTCCCCAGTACTGGGATTACAGGCATTTGCCACCACGCCCAGGCTTTTTTTTTTTTAGTATTCAACACTGAACCTGGGGAAGCTCTGAGTCAGAACATTCCCAGACCTTTTATTTCATTTATTTAGTTACTTCATTTTGTGATATTCGTGATGGAACCCAGAACTTTGCACATGCTAGGCAAGCACGCTACCACTGAGCTGCATCCCCAGCCCTTTTAATCTGTTTGTTTTGTGGCACTGGGTATTGAACCCAGGACCTGCATACTGAGCTACATCCCCAGCTCCTTTTATTTTTCCCCCAAATTTTTTCATTTTGAGACAAGGTCTTACTGAGTAAGTTGTGCAGGCTGGCCCTGAATTTGCAATCCTCCTGCCTCAGCCTCTGGAGTGATTGGCTTAGAGGGATGCAACACCCCTCCTCTCTGCATTGTTTTTTCCCTTCCCTGCGTTTCCCAGCTAGGTGTGGTGGCACATGCCTATAATCATGACACTCTGGGAGGCTGAAGCAGGAGGATCACAAGTTTGAGCCTGCTCTGGGGAACTTACTGACTTAGCAAGGTCCTGTCTCAAAATAAAAATAAGAAGAAGAGGGGGGGATGGTGTTCAGTGCAAGGGCCCTGGGTTCAGTTCCCAGTTCTGAAAAAAAACAAATCTCTACCCAATCCCAGGGAAAACCCCACAATATCTACCCTCTGAGGTCTGCTAGTGTCCACATTACCCACAAGTAGGGAGCTACTATACAGATTTATTCCCAAACTGGTTTTTCTCATTTAACAAAAAGATCTTGGGCTGGGTACCATGACTCACGCCTGTAACTGCAGCTACTCTGGCGGCTAAAGCAGGAGAATCACAAATTTAAAGACCTGGGGATTTAGCTCAGTGGTTCTACCACCTGCCTCATAGGTGCAAGGTCCCAAGTTTGATCCCTGGTACCCAAAAAAAAAAAAAAAAAAAAATTTGAGCCCAGCCTGGGCTAAATAGCAAGACTTTGTCTCAAAATAAAAAGGGCTGGGGTGTGGTTCAGTGGTTAGAGGTTGCCTAGCATGCATGAAGCTCTGGGTTCCATCATCAGTGCCATAAAAAAGAAAAACAACATGCTCCACATCTCTAACCCCTGGTTTCCCCATCCTTATCCAGAGAATAGATAAAGAATGTGGTCCACCCACATACTGGAATATTACTGAGCCAGGAAAACAGTGAGGCTCTGACATGTGACACAGCGTGGATGGACCTGGAGGACGCTATGCTCAGTGAGAGACGCCAGACACAGGACACACATCGTGGGCTCCGTGGACAGGAGACACACAAGACAGGTGAATACAGAGACAGGAAGTGGAGCCATGGGTACCAGGGCTGGGGAGGGAACAGGTTACTGCTGTGCAGATGGATGGGGCTTGCTGGGATGATGGAATGTTCTGGCGTTGGAACTCTGGCTGCCCCCTACCCTCCCAGGTGTGTGATCTGGATCTGCACTCAATGCTTGTGGGTGGGAGGGACAGGAGGGCCCAAGGCCAGGTGGGATCTGGGGGTGATAGGTGCTCTAGATGGGGGCTGTCACTGGGGTGGAACCCTGGGGCGTATGTGGATCGGGCTGGAGATAGGAAGTGGGGCTGGAAGCCAGGACTCAGCCCCTTACCGCTCCAAATATGAGGGCAACAGCAAACAGCCATGGGGACCTAGGGGTAAACTGAGGACAGGAGGCCACAGGGCCTGTCTGTCTTTTTTTGTGTGTTGTGTAGGATTTGTCTTGTTTTGTTTTTGAGTTTTTTGAGAGAGGATCTCACAATGTAGCCCAGGCAGTCCTCAAACTTGCAGTGATTCTCCTGCCTCAGCCTCCCAAGTACTAGGACAGTTGGTGCACCACCAGGCCTGCCTGCCTATCTCTGCCTACCCGTGTCTTTCTGTTTTTCTCTTTCTCTCTTTTTCTCTGTCTGTCCAGAGCAGGCAAGTCCTCAGTGACAGGAAGTTGGTTTGTGGCACCCGGAGCTGAGGGAGGGAGATGGGGTTTTGTCTTGGAGGATGAAACTGTTGTGGAACTGATGGGGTGATGGTTGCATTTCACTGTGAATATTCTAAAACCACTAAATGGTATTTTTAAAAATAGCTACTTTCTTGGTTCTGCCGCCTGTCTTGAAAGCGCAAGGTCCGAGTTCGATCCCCTGTACCAAAAAACAAAAAACAAAAATAGCTGATTTCCTGTGATATGCATGAATGTCACCTCAAGTTTTTTCCTCAGGCAGTGGGGTTGGAACCCAGAGCCTTCACACAGCTGCATCTCCAGCCATTTTTGGAATTTTTATTTTTGAGACAGAATTGTGTGAAGTCAACAAATTGACCAGGCTGGGCTCAAACTTGTGACCTTCCTGTCTCAGCCTCCTGAGTGCTGGGATAACTGGTGTGAGTGAGCATCATAGCCAAGCCAGAAGTGACAAGTCTAGGGGACTCAGCCCTTCTAGGGTGGTGAGGGGTGGGGCAAGGTAGACGCCGGGGCCCTGGGGCTCAGATCCAGCCTCAGCTGAGCACCTAGGTCCAGCAACCTGGCAGTGTCCCCTCTCTGTGCCCCCTGGCTCCCACCTGCCAACTGTCTACCCAATTCCAACCAAGCTCCGGTCTCACCTCTCCCAGGCCCCCATTTCCTTCATTTTTTGTTTTTTCATTTTGTTTTGGTTTTGTTTCTCTGAGGCAGGGTCTCACTGTGTAGCCCAGGCTGGCCTTGAACTCACAGTGATTGTCCACCTGCCTCAGCCTCCAGGATGACAGGTGTGCCCCGCTGTGCCCATCCCCCATTTCCTTTTTGCCCAGGGCATGAAGTCCCCATGGACTCCAGAGTCCAAAGCTCCTGTCCTTCCCAGCTGGGGGACTCCCGGGGGTGGGCTGTGCTGAGCCCTGAGTGGGCACACAGCTCCTGCTTTGCCCAGCCCTCTCCTGCTCTGAACTCCCCCACGGCTCCCCAGTGCATTGGGCAGCCTGCTCCCTCCCCTCACGGGGAATCCAAGCCCCTCGCCTGCCTGCTCCTCCCAACCCCCCAGGGACCCCTGAGCTGTCAGGAAGCATCCCCAACCCCCCCCCTTGCCCCCCACAGGGTGCTGAGAAGCGATTGCCACACTCTCTTCTCCTGCCGCCTCCTGGCCTCCTGAGGGCCGTTGGTGGCCGCCTTTCAACACCAGGATTCTCAACGGCTGCCCAGGCTCCCCCCGCCCTGCTGGCTGCATGAGGAAACTGAGGCAGGGTCCCCAAGCAGGTGCCCCGCACTCCTGTGGCTGGACTCCACGTGTGTGGTGACGCCTAGACGTCCACCCGAGGGTGCCCCCCATGCAGTGTTCCTGGTGCTGCCATGTGGCTGCCATCTGTATTCAGCAGGCAGCAGAGGTGCACTTCCCACCACGGGGCAGGGGTGCTTGTTACCCCCATTCCCAGGGCAGAAAACAGGCCCAGAGTGGGATTCCAAGTATTGCATCAGGGAAGACTGCCTGCCAGTCACCCCACCACTCAGGAGTCTGAGGCAGGAAGGTTGTTGTGAGTTAGAGGCCAGCCTGGGTGCCATATTGAGACCCTGTCTCAAAACACAAAGAAAAGGGCCAGGGATTTAGCTCAGTGGTTTTGCCGACTGCTGAGCCAAGTGCAAGGACCCGAGTTCGATCCCTGGTACCAAAAACAAACAAACAAACAAAGAAAACCCCACACAAAAACAAAAAAACAAGCATTTGGGGGAAATGTGGGAAAGGTGTTCTTACCACCTATAAAATCATTAAAAAATTTTTTTTTATAAATAAGGTCTCACGATGTAGCCCAGGCAGGCCTGGAACTCTCAGCAATTCTCCTGCCTCAGCCTTCGGAGTGATGGGATGACAGGCATGGACCACCATGCCCTGCTTACCACCCAGAAAAATCTTTGCCAACATGGAGCTGAGCCTCTGAAAACATGAGTCAATTTCAGAAAAATACTGTGAGTAATAGCAAGGCAGACAGCGAACGGGCAAGAGAGCGGGGGTGGGGGGGTGCGGGGCTGCAAACCACCGGTGCTCAGTGAACGCAGCCTCCCCTGCCCCACACTCAAAAGAGCGAGAGCCACTTAACTGCAGGATGCTCGGGTTCTGTCCGATTCCCAGTGAGGCCCAGAGACTGTGCAGGGCCTCGTACGCGGTGGGGGCTCAGGAGATGGTGAATACGTGTACAGTATTAAATCCTCCCATTCCTGGCCTGGAAACTTTGCACAGGGACCTAAACTCTCCGGGCCTCAGTTTCCCCCTGTGGATGTGAGGATCAGCGGGTCTCCACCCCACAGGGCTGTGTGCGTTGGAGGAGGCGCCTGCATACAGCAAGCGCTGCCTAAATGCGGGCCCAGTCGGTTTGTTCCCAGCGCCCTACAGCCATCCGCCCCTGCTAGGGTCGCGGGGACTGGGGTGAGGCCGGGTGAGCAGAGGTGGGAAGGAACAAGGGACGGGACAGGGTCAGGGACCGGGCGGGGTGGGCCCCGGGCCACCTCCCGTCTCCACTCCCGCCCAGGAGTCTTTGTCTCCTCACTCGGGCGCCTGGGGAGCTCGCCATGGAAACGGATGCGCGCGCGAGTACGCGCGCGGCGAGCACCGGGCACGGGGGGAGGGGGCCGCGGAGGCCGTGAACGCCCGGAGCCGCCGGGGCCGCCGCGACCCCCGAGCCCATTCCGCGCCGCGCGCCTAGGAGCACCGGAGAGGCCGGCGGGAAGGGCGCTCGGGGGGCCGCGGGGAGGGCGCCGGAGACCGGGCTCAGAGACCCTCAGACCCTGGGATCCCGAGACTCGGAGGAGGCGGCGACCCGAGGTGGGGACCGGGGCGGGGACGGGGGCGGGGACCGGGGCGGGACGGCGCGCCCGGGGCTGGGCCCTGTGGTGGACGCGCGCAGCGCCCCCGACGCACACGCAGACAAAGAGCCCGAGCCCCGCGCGCCGCGCCTAGGCCGCCGCGGGGTCCTGGCCGGGGCCCCTCCCCGCCCCCTCCCCGCCCCCTCCCCGCCCCCTCCCCGCCCCGCGCCCCACCCCGCCGCGGGAACCCCGCTTTGTGCTCGCCGCCCCGCCAGGTGAGGGCTGCGACGGCGCCGGGCCCCACCCACTGTGCACCCTGGTCCCCGCTGCGGGATGCGTTGCCCTGCGTGGGGGACAAACGCGGGGACCGAGACGGCCGGGCCGGGCCGGGCCAACGCTGCCCTCCTCGCCGATCCCCTTCCGGACCCCTCCCCAGTGCTCGGGTGTGGGGACCCTGACCCATAGGCAGGCAAGGCTGGAGGGCCCCTCTCCTCCGGTCGTCGTTTCCCCGGGCGTTTCTCGAGAGTCTTCGCCCGCACCTCCCCCCGCCCCGCCCGCGCCAGGCCCCGGGTCCCCCCAGGGCTCAGTGTGCCTGTCCCCCTCCCCAGCCCGGTTTGGGCCCCTCTAGCCTCGGCCTGCAGCCCCCACAGCACCATGATCTCCGCCAAGGAAAAGAATAAAAGCCCGAAGGACAGCATGACGCTTCTGCCCTGCTTCTACTTCGTGGAGGTGAGGGGGAGAGGGGCCACACAGGACACAGCTGCCCTTGACCGCCTGAGAGGGTACCTGGGGCTGAGGGAGATGGGGCCAGGTCAGAAGGCTTGGGCTCTGCTGGTTGAGTAGGAGTTCCAGAGGTGTGGAAGGGTGGTCTGGGCTGTGGGATTAGTGTGGGCAAACGCTAGGAGGTGGCACCTGCAGCTGGGGTCCGGGTCAGTAGCCAGCCCGGCTATGCAGGATTCGGGGAGGCTGGGGATGGGCTGGGCATGGGTGCAGTTTTCCTTCCCTGGGTCCCCTCACACCCTGAGATCTGAGTTCAGACCTTCTGCCCATGGTGGTGGGAGCATAGCGCTCAACCGCGGGGAGCCCCCTGCCCCAGGGGACCTCATAGGAATTAACAGCCACAAAAAAAGGCTCCCCACTGGCCGGGCACAAGGGAGGGCTTGGCAATGTTCTAAAACTAGAAGACAATAAATGCAGCTGCCTGGTGCATACTAATAAGTGGTGCTCGGGTGGACGTCAGAGGGTGACATTGGTCAGTCCCTGAATGACAGGCAGGGAGAATCTGGCTCCTGTGAGGGGCCCAGCAGGGCTTGGTGGCCAACAGGGTGGGAATGAGCCTGCCAGCCATCCCCCAACCCTGCAATAGACTGGGACCCCCGGGACCCTGGCCCAGCTCCCGGAAGCGGTCCCTCCCTGGCGTGGCTTTGGAGCAGATCTGTTTGTGTCTCCCGATTGCATTTATGTTCCGGTTACAATAGGTTTCAACCTCAATGCAGAGACAGCTGGCTCCCCCTGCAGTCCCTCTGCCCCCTTTCCTGCTTTGACTTGCCTCTTCAGATTTTTATTCACTATTTTATTTATATATTTGCAGTGCCAGGGATGGAACCCCTGACCCTAAGAATGCTAGGCAAACAATCACTGCTGAGCTGCCTTCTTAGCCCTTTTTATTTTTATTTTGTTTTGTTTTTTGAGACAGGGTCTCACTAAGTGGTTCAGGCTCGCCTCAAACTCTCAGTGATCCTCCTGCCTCAGCCTCCTGGGTACTGAGATTACAAGTGTGCACCACCATGCCCAGCAGTCCTCTTGTGTCATTTTTAATACTTCCAAAAGTTATTTTACATCTATTCTTTCTCCTCTCCTATTATTTCTTTTCAGCGTTTGTTTTTTTGTGGTGCTGGGGATTGAATGCAGGGCTTAAAGTATGCTGGGCCAGTGCCCAACCATTGAGCTGTAGCCTGGTTCTTTCTCCTCATTTCTTTCTTGCAGCACTGGGGATGGAACCCAGGGCCTTCACACTGAGCTAAATCCCCAGCCTGTTTTATTTACCTTTTGAGTCAGAGTCTTGCTAAGTCACTAAGTTGCCCAAGCTAGGCTCAAACTTGAGATTCTTCTGCCTCAGCCTGCCAGAGAGTGCTGAGATGGTAGGCAAGCTCTCTCATTTTTTAAACACATACTTCTGCTCCTGTCTTTTTTCCAGAGGAGACCATGGATTAGCATCACACAAAAGGCGTCCCCAGCCTTTCTCCCGGCAGTGTGGCACTCCATCTACAGTAGCTGGACACAGCTGTGTCTTCTAACCTCTGTCATCAGAGATGGTCCTGTGATGAAAGCCCTCTGGCCTGCCATTGTTGTCTGTTCAAGAATGACTTTATGCTGGGGAGCATGGTACATGCCTGTGATTTCATCTACTCAGGAGGCTGAGGCAGGAGGGTCACAAATTCAAGGTCAGACTAGCCAACCTAGCAAGACCCTCTTTCAAAATAAAAAGAGCTGAGGGTTGAGTGTGGCAGCAGATACCTGTGATCCCAACACTCAGGAGGCTGTGGCAGGAGGATCACCACGAGTTCAAGGCCAGCCTGGGCTACATAGTGAGTCCAAGGTGAGCCTGAACTACATAGCCAGACCCTGTCTCAAAACAAAAATAAAAATAAATAAAAAAAGGCTGAGGCTGTAGCTCAGGGGCAGAGCACTTGCCTAAGATGCAAAACCTTGGGTACAATGTCCAGCACTGAAAAAGACCTAATAAAAGTAATTTTACGTGTGTAAAGATAAACCCCAGAAGAGTGAGTGCTGGGAAAAGGGCACAGTCACTTTGAAAAAGACGCTCGGGGGCTGGGGATTTAGCTCAGCGGTTCCAGTGCCTGCCTTGCAAGCACAAGGACCCGAGTTTGATCCCCAGTACCCAAAAAAAAAGAAAGAAATGGAAAAAGACGCTCCGTGCTCCCTGTGGAGAGAGGTGACAGTCTTCAGCACCCCTTTGTGTGCCTGTTTACCCACATTTGGAGCCAGCACCATATAGCAACAGACTTTTGGATTCTGATCAATCCGTGGGTGAAAAACTGAATTGCTGGTCCCACTCACAGTTATGAGAACACATGCTGCTAGCTTGGGGTGGAGCCTCCTGGGAACTAGAAGAGGTCCTCATGGCCGGGGATTTAGCTCAGCAGCACTGTGTCTACCTCGCAAAGGCAAGGTCCTGAGTTCGATCCCCGGTACAAAAAAAAAAAAAATTGGGGCCAGGGGTTTAGCTCAGTGGTTCCGTTGCTTGCCTTGGAAGCGCAAGGACCCGAGTTGGATCCCTGGCACCAGACAAAAAAAAGAGTTCCTCATTTGAAAGAGCTTTCAGGCTGGGCGTGGCTGCGCACCCCTTGAGAGGCTGAGGCAGGAGGATTATCACAGGTTAGAGGCCAGCCTGGGCTCCATAGTGAGTTCAAGGCCAGACTGAACTACAGGGCCAGACCCTGTCTCAAGCACCTTCCCAAAAGAGCATTCATTACAGTTCCAGCCCAGCCTGGGCAACTTAGTGACTTAACAAGCCCCTGGGTCAAAATTAAAAATAAAAAAGGGGGCCGGGATTTAGTTCAGTGGTTCCAGCCACCTGCCTCAAAAGTGTAAGGTCCCAAGTTCGATCCCCAGGCCTGGCGTGGTGGCTCATGCCTGTAATCCCAGCACTCGGGAGGCAGAGGCAGGAGGATTACCGAGAGTCCGAGGCCAGCCTGAGCTACGTAATGAATTCAGGGCCAGCCTGAAGTACAAAGTGAGACCCTGTCTCAAAAACAAAAAAAAACCCCCAAGTTTGATCCCCGGTACCAAAAAAAATAAAAAAATAAAAAATAAAAAAGGGCTGGAGATGCTGCTCGGTGTGAAGGCCCTGGGTTCGATCCCCAGTACCAAAAACAACTACAACCAAACATGTTTTATAATAAAGGCACTGAATATCTCTTGTGATTTATTGAATACTGAAAGGAGAAAGCAGAAGTTATATGTTATACTTTGGCTCCACTGTAAGTCGAGGACTTGGCATTTTTTGTGGGACAGGGTCTCACTATGTCACCCAGGTTGGTCTCAAACTGGCTCAAGTACACTGGGTGTGGTAATGCACGCCTGTGATCCCAGCACTTGGGAGGCCGAGGCAGGAGGACTGCCATGAGTTCGAGGCCAGTCTGTTCTATATAGCAAGACTCTGTCTCAAAAAAAAGAAAAGCAAAATTAGCTCAGTTGACCCCCCTTCTTCATCCTCCACAGTAGCTATGACTAGCTACCACCATGCCTGGCTTTTTTCCTTGGCTTTGTTTGTGGAGTTTTTTTTGGCAGTGCTGAGGCTAGAACCCAGGGCCTTGTTTGTGCTAACCAAGCACCCCTCACTGAGTTGCATCTGCAACGCTTTTTCTTTTTTTTTTTGGCACCGGGGATCGAACTCATTTCCTTGCTCTTTCGAGGCAGGTGGTGGAACCACTGAGCTAAATGCCCGGCCCTTCATTTTTTATTTTGAAACAGGGTTTTATTAACTTGCCCAGGCTGGCTTGAACTTGCAATCCTCCTGCCTCAGCCTCCAAGTAGCTGGAATGACAGTTGTGAAGCACCTTGCCAAGCATCACACCTTTCTTTTTTTCTTTCTTTCTTCCTTCCTTCCTTCCTTCCTTCCTTTCTTTCTTTCCTTTCTTTATTGGTACCAGGGATCAAACTCGGGTCCTTGCACTTGCGCAGCAGGCAGCGAAACCACTGAGCCAAATCCCCGGCCACATCACCCCTTTTAAAAAAAAGCATCACATTGGCCGGACGTCCTCCAGTGACTGAATACCCCACCCCTAGGTCTCATGTCGTCTCCTGTGTCCAGTGATTTCAGCTGAGGGTCTCCGGGAGAGATGAGTGGGTGGTTGGATTGCAGAGGCACTGGGTGCCAATGTGGGGCCCTGGCCTGGCCTTGAACCTCACTGCACCCCCAGATGCCTGGTGCCAGGCTGCTGCTGGTTCTCCCTGCGTGGTAGTCCCCCCCCCAACCCCCCAGGTCTTGCTGTGGCTTCCCAGTGTCCTGAGGACCCCTCCCTTCCATCTGGCCCTGCCTTGCCCTATAGTGACAAGCAGGTACACAGGCCATTTCAGTCACAGCCAGGCCTTCCCAAACCTCAGATCCTCGTGGGTAGGAACAACAGGGAATTTTAAAACAACTTTATATTTTTTGAGACAGGTCCTCGCTATGTAGTTCAGGCTGGCCTCGAACTTGGGGCGATCCTCCTGCCTCAGCCTCCCAAGTGCTGGGACTACAGGTGTGTGCCGCCACGCCAGGCTAGGATTCAGTGTCTTTAAGGCCATGCCCAGGCCCCCACTGCAAACCCTTCCCAGGCCTTGATGCTGGCTGCCCTCCTGAACCAAACCAGGCTAGTGATAATGAGCAGTTGCCGCTGCTGTGCAGTCAGGGCTCATTGAAGCACTCTCCAGTTTATTATTATGTTTTGGATTTTTAAGACATGGTCTCGGGCCAGGGATTTAGCTCAGTGGTTTCGCTGCCTGCTGCGCAAGTACAAGGACCTGAGTTCGATCCCTGGTACCAAAAAAAAAAAAGACAGGGTCTCACTGTGTAGTTCAAGCTGGGCTTGAACTATGTAGCCTAGGCTGGCCTCGAGCTTGCAGCAATCGTCCTGCCTCAGCTTCCCAAGTGCTGGGACTACGGGCATGCGCCACCATGCCCGGCTTTCCACTTTAGTATTTATCCATCTAAGTCTTTGCTCACAGTGCCCGGAGCCCTGTCATTCCTATCACACACCAGGGGAAACTGAGGCACATGGTTGCGGAGGGAGAGCCAGGGAGGAAGGGGCTGGGGACCAGATGTACTCTTCCAGGTCAGGTTACACCCCAGTGATCACCTGCAGGCAGGCCCCACTGCCCGACAGCATGGCCAGCTGTGAACTTACTGGCTTTTTTTTGTTGTTGTACTGAGGATTGAACCCAGGGCTTTCACACTGAACTATATCCCTAGCTCTTTTCCTTTGAGACAGGATATTGCTAAGTCATTAAGTTGCCCAGGCTGGGCTTGACCTTGCAATCCTGTCTCAGCCTCCTTAGCGCTGGGATGACAGGTGTGTGCCACTGCACCTGACTCTGGGGAACATTTTTGATCCAAACCATAGCACATGCCAGACACTGTCTCCTCGCTCATTTCCCTGGGCCTTGAGCCTGTAGTGCTTGCCACACTGCAGACCCCCAGACCCTGCAGGGCCCTCTCTGCAGACCCCCTGCCAGCTCCTGCCTGGCCCCTGGCATGTTTGGTGGGGGTGGAGCCAGAGCAGCGTAACGGACAGGTGGGTGTCCTCGAAGGGGTGGTAACCAGAGGGTCCCTAAGCCAGCACATCTCAGGAGGAATGCAAAGGAGAAACTCAGAGGCAGGAATGTATTAGTTCCTTCTAGGATGATAAGAAAAGGGCAGAGTATGGGTTTGCCTGTGATCCCAACACTGGGGAAACTGAGGCAGGAGGATCACCAAAAGTTGGAGGCCAGCCTGGGCTACATAGTGAGTTCAAGGCCAGCCTGAACTAAACGGTGAGACCCTGTCTTGAAAAAAAGAAGAGTCTCTGGAGGGTAGTCAGGGACATGGACAGATGAGAAGGCAGGATGGGTGGGCTGGTGGATGGAGGTGCATGGACGGTGAGGGCAGATGGATGGATGAGGTGAATATGTGTGTGGCTGGTTGGCTGGGGTGTGTATATGTGTGGATGGATGTGGGGTAGGGGATGATGGGGTAGACGGTGGGTTGGGGACGGTGGCTGGAGGACCCCATGGATGCTGGCTGGATCTGTGATCACACAGCAGGTCAGTGAATGCACAGTTAGATGGGCAGGTGACCTTGGCCGCTGTCTCCTGCAGCTGCCCATCGTGGCATCCTCCATCGTGTCCCTGTACTTCCTGGAGCTGACGGACCTTTTCAAGCCAGCCAAGGTCGGGTTCCAGTGCTATGACCGCACACTGTCCATGCCCTACGTGGAGACCAGTGAGGAGCTCATCCCGCTACTCATGCTGCTCAGCCTGGCATTTGCGGCCCCCGCCGCCTCGGTGAGTGGACACGGGGGAGGGGTGTGCTGGGCTGGGCCGGTCTGGGGCCCAGGGATGCGGGTGGGCCCCTGACGCCTCCCCGTGGCCCCAGCAGATCATGGTCGGCGAGGGCTTGCTGTACTGCCTGCAGTCTCGGCTCTGGGGCCGCGGTGGGGGACCCGGCGGGGCTGAGGGCAGCATCAATGCCGGCGGCTGCAATTTCAACTCCTTCCTGCGGCGCACGGTGCGCTTTGTGGGTGAGTCCTGCTCTGAGTTCCCGCCCAACGTGGGGAGTTCTGGCCCTGGCTCCCTCACCCACCTGACCTCCCGCTTGGCCCGCAGGTGTCCACGTGTTCGGCCTCTGTGCCACCGCCCTGGTGACTGACGTCATCCAGCTGGCCACCGGCTACCACGCACCCTTCTTCCTCACTGTGTGCAAACCCAACTACACGCTGCTGGGCACCTCGTGTGAGGCGAACCCCTACATCACACAGGACATCTGCTCGGGCCATGATACTCACGCTATCCTGTCTGCACGGTGAGCCCCGCCCTGAGGGCCACAGGTGGGGGTGTCATAGCCCCGCCCTCCCGGCCCACTGGACACTTGGGGAAACCGAGGCAGGGAGTGAGTCCCTGGGCAGCAGGGCTCACACTGGGCGCCTCTTCCAGGAAGACCTTCCCGTCACAGCACGCCACGCTCTCGGCCTTCGCCGCCGTCTACGTGTCGGTGAGTGAGTGTGTCCCCAGCCCTGGCCCTGCCTGTGTGGCCGCCCCTCGGGGAGCCGGCTGCCCCCTGACTCCTGCTCCCCCCAGATGTACTTCAACTCTGTCATTTCGGATACCACCAAGCTGCTCAAGCCCATCCTGGTGTTTGCCTTCGCCATCGCTGCGGGCGTATGTGGGCTCACCCAGATCACGCAGTACCGAAGCCACCCGGTGGACGTCTACGCTGGCTTCCTCATCGGGGCTGGCATCGCCGCTTACCTGGTGAGTGGGCGGGTAGGGACCGGGGGGCCCGAGGGGGGTGACTGGCTGACCAAGCCCCTGACCTTCAAGGCTCCCCTCGCCCCTGTGCTGCTGGCTACTCAGGTCCCCCAGTCCCCGGGCAGGTCCTGATACCCTCTGTGTCCCTCCAGGCTTGCCACGCAGTGGGCAAATTCCAGGCTCTGCCCACCGAGAAGCCCACGGCCCCGGCACCCGCCAAAGACCCACTACGGGCGCTGACGCAGCGTGGCCACGACTCGGTTTACCAGCAGAACAAGTCCGTGAGCACCGACGAGCTGGGACCGCCCGGCCGGCTGGAGGGGGCGCCGCGGCCCGTGGCGCGCGAGAAGACGTCGCTGGGCAGCCTGAAGCGCGCCAGCGTGGACGTGGACCTGCTGGCCCCGCGGAGCCCCATGGGCAAGGAGAACATGGTGACCTTCAGCAACACCCTGCCGCGCGTCAGCACGCCCTCACTGGACGACCCAGCGCGCCGCCACATGACCATCCACGTGCCGCTCGACGCCTCCCGCTCCAAGCAACTCATCAGCCAGTGGAAGCAGAAGGCGCAGGAGGGGCGCGCGCTGGGGCTCCCGGACGAGGCCAGCCCCGCGCACCTGCGCACACCCGCCGAGCCCATGGCCGAGGAGGAGGAAGAGGAGGAGGACGAAGACGAGGAGGACGAAGACGAGGAGGAGGAAGACGAAGAGGAGGAAGAGGAGGAGGACGGGGCCCCCGCGCCACCCTCGTTGTACCCCACGGTGCAGGCGCGGCCAGGGCTGGGGCCACGCGTGCTGCTCCCGCCGCGCCCGGGCCCGCAGCCGCTCGTGCACATCCCCGAGGAGGGCGCGCCGGCGGCGGGCGCGGGTTTGTCCCCCAAGAGCGGCGCCGCAGTGCGCGCCAAGTGGCTGGTGATGGCGGAGAGGGGCGCGGCCCCGGTTCCTGCGGCCGCGGCACCGCCCCGCGCGCCCAACCCACCGCGCCTCCTGCAGGTGATCGCCATGTCCAAGGCGCCCGGCGCCAAGGCGGCGGCCGAGACTACGTCGTCGTCCAGCGCCAGCTCGGACTCCTCGCAGTATCGCTCGCCCTCGGACCGCGACTCAGCCAGCGTGGTCACCGTGGACGCGCACGCACCGCACCACCCCGTGGTGCACCTGTCGGCGGCCGGCGCGCCCTGGGAGTGGCGGGCGGCAGGCGGCGCTGCACGGGTCCCCGAGGGCGACAGCGGCTACGAGCTGGGGGATCTGGCCCGTGCTTTCCGCCCCGGCCCTCGGGCCCCGGGTACATCCCCTGGCTCATCCGTCAGCGACGCAGAGCAGGAAGAGCCGCGTTTCGCGGCCGTGGCAACGGTCAACCTGGCCACTGGTGAGGGGCTGCCCCCACCGGGCGCGGCGGATGGGGTTTTGGGGCCCGGCAGCCGCGAGGCCACGCTGCGGCGCCCGGGCCCAGGCGAGCGCGAGGCGGGCGAGGCAGAGGCGGAGAGCTACTACCGCAGGATGCAGGCCCGCCGCTTCCCGGACTGAGCGCGGGCCAAGGGGTGGGCGGGAGGGGACCTGGGCCAGGCCGTCTAGGGATCAATAAAGAGGCCATTTGTTGACACCAAGGTCCCAGGTCGTTTGTGGGGATCTCTGCCAGCCACTCTGTAGCCGGGGACCCACCTCATTTCCATGCGGGAGGATGAATCTCACCCTTTTAGGCCGTGTAGCCACCACAGGGCTTTGGGGCAAAGGAGTGGGGCCAAAGGGGGACTCCCAAGTGGGGAGAAGCGGAGGTTAAGTGGGCTGAGCTCACAGAAAAGAAAACAGCAGCAAAGACCAACAGGCCCAATAAAGAGGGAAATCAAGCACAGGACATAGAAATTTATTCAAAGTCCAGGTACAGACTGGCTGGCTGCCTTCTACAATGTGAACAGCAAGAAAGGTCTAGAGGAAAGGCCGGAGTTTGTTATAAAAGTTTTAATCAGTTCTTCCCGTTACAAGCCATCGGAATGGGCAAATGGAATGTGTGGCCAAGGCTTGCTGTGTGCAACACTGAGCCTGTAACCGCCATTATCAAAATATACATCTGTCACCGTAAAAAACTGTGATGTGCTGCCTCCGTGTCTGACAACAGGTATAAAAAAAAAAAAAATCACAAATATTTACACCCTTGTTACACTCCACTGTGGACTCAGGATCCGAGGAGACCCCTGCCTGCTTGCAGCTGGGTGGCCCAGAGGGTGGTGGGGGGTGCAGTGGGCTGGATGCTGGTCCCACCGCCTGGGCCCCAGCATCAGAGGCAGACAAGCAACAGAAATACAACTTTGGTCCAAAATTTGAAGGAAAATCAAACACCCTGAAACAGCCTTTGCTGTTTGTCTAGGCAGATTGCAAGTGGAGCTGGTAAGGCAATGGCAGATAGAGGAAGGTGGGCGGGCGCCAGCCCAAGCCCTGTGAGGAGACCTGGCTCCTGGCCTCAGGCTCCTGAGTGCCGGGGGTCCCCAGCTCCGGAGACTGGATCCTGCCTGTGACTTCATTAAGCACAAGGAATAAAATAAAAGTACAGCATACAAAGTAATACGAGAAGCCTGGATTACACTCATACCATTGTATCATCTTGCTATAAAAAGTTACTTAAAAACTATTGCATATAAATGAAAAAAGATTAGAATATTTGGTCAACATGATATTGCTAGGCACAGCATCTGCAGCCACATCAGGTATGATACAGAGATTACAAGGGCTCCAAAGCTGAGGCGGAGGTCCGTACCCTCTGGGCCCGGCTGGGGACAGCGGCACCTGGAGGGTGGGGACTGAGAGAATCACTTGATCCATCATTGATTGAGTGGGGAAGGAGGTTCAGCTGGCCCTGGCCGACAGGCTCCCGCCCAGCACTGGGCACATGATCTTGTGGAAGGGAGCCACAGGCTGCTTGGTGTTTGCCCAGCCTGGCCCCCACTTTGCCTGTGGGTGGTGTGGCCACAAGGCAGGCAGGTTAAGGCACAAGAAAGCCGACTGTGGTCTGGGGTGCCCTCCCTTGGGCTGCCCGGGCTAGGGGCAGTGGGGACCCCTGCCACAGCCCCTGGGAGCCTGAGCTGTCACCGTCACTGCAAGGTCAGCAAGGTGAACTAGATTTAATTTTTTTAAAAACAGGTAAACTGATTTTTCTTTAAAAAAATAAAATCTCTGGTCTGTTAAGGTCACTTCAGCTGCTTTTTAAAGTGGCTTTTTTCTGGAATGACGGAAGTTGGCGCCAGGGCACCCGGCCACGAGCCCACCCTAGATGGTGGACTTGGAGAAGGACACCCGCAGGTGGTGGTTCTCGCCCAGGTCGTGGTTGTGCAGGTCGATGAGGGCCTGCACAGCCTCCTCCACTGAGCCCATCTGGATCAGCGCCATCTTGCGGTCTTTCCTGTAAGAGAAAGTCAGGGTCAGAGTGCAGGGCAGGGTCAGAGGGGAGGGTGAGCAGATGGGGTGGCTCCCAGGTACTCACTGGAAGAACTTGAAGCCCTTCACCACACCCCCGTTGCTGGAGAAGAGGCTCTTGAGGTCTTCCTCAGATACTGAGGGCCTATGGAGAGAGGGGCTGTTAATGGCAGGGGCACCACTGCAGACCACAGCTCCCAGGGACCACAAAGGCCTAAAGGCTCTTTGGGGCCTAGAAATGGTCCACAGTGACCTGAAATGGCCTTGATTTTTTTCTTTTCCTTTGTGGTACCAGGGATCGAACTCGGGTCCTTGCACTTGCTCAGCAGGCGGCGAAACCACTGAGCTAAATAATCCCCGGCCCCAGTCCCTTCTTTCCTTTTTTTGAGACAGGGCCTCACTAAGTAGCTCAGGCTGGCTTCAAAATTACAGTGATCCACAGGTCCCTGGAGTGCTGGGATTACAGGTGTGAGCCACCTTGCTTGGCTCTGAAATGACCCTGAGAAAACTCAAGAGTCTCTGAACTGGAGGCCCACAATAGCCCAGCATGGTGGCACATACCTGTCATCCTGCACAGCAGCAGGCTCCACAGGCTTGAGCCCAGCATGAGCAAGTTAGTAATGTAGTGAAACCATCTCAATTTTGTTGTTGTTGTTACTGGGGATTGAACTCAGGTCCCTGCACTTGTGAGGCAGGTGGCAGCACTACTGAGCTAATCCCTGGCCCCTCATCTCAAATTTTTTAGATAGCTAGAGGTGAAGCTCAGGGCAGACCCCGAATTCAAAAACACAGTAATACCCTGCCCCTCATTTTCTTTTGGGTAAGTTTCACCAAGTATCACTCAGGTGCTGGGCACATGACCCAGTGGTGAGCACCTGCCTGTACCCAAGGGGCCCCATGTCAGGTCCAGGGACCACTCACGGGATGTTGGAGAGGTGCAGTGTGGCGGAGGGTGGGAAGATGTTCTGGAAGTTCTTGGAGCCAGGCTTCTTGAAGCGATGCAGGGGCGAGTTGCCATAGTCCTTGGTGAGGCCCTGGTCCTCCTGGCCCTCCCTGGGCAACTGCACATTCTGGTGCTTGGACAGCGTGATGCGGATCGGCTTCCCATGCAGCTTGTGCCCGTTCAGGTGACTCATGGCTGCAGAAGGCAATCATGTCACCAAGGGCCTGGTGGGCAGAGATCCACCCGCCCCACCCTCTCAGCCAGGCCCTTACCCAGCTGGGCCTGGCTCCCATCTGCCATCTGCACCAGTGCGTTCTCCTTCTTGTTGAACAAGATCTTCACCCGCTGCACGTCACCGTAAACGCCTTCAAAAGCCCAGCAAGGACAGGGACTGAGTCTTGTGGCCTCGGCCCAACTCCCACCCACCGGAACCCCCCAAGGCTCCACTCAGCCTGACCAGGTTTGCTTATTGTGCCGCCAGGAGCCTGCGTCTAGCAGCCCAGGGCCATGACTGGAGCCACTAAATCAGCAGTCGAAAGCCCAAGGCAGGGAAACTGTCGAGAGCGACCACGCTCGCATGCTACTGACACGCTGAACTCTCAGAGCAGCATGCAGGGCGGTAAACCATGCGAATCTACGGCCAGGTGTAAAGTCCGCAAACCGGAAGCAAACCACATAACGAGGCCGAATGCCAAACTCCAAACTCATAGTACATCTCAGGGCGTAAAAATAATCTCAATTAAACGAAAACAAGATAATAAAAGTGTGAATAACATACCGAAAAGAATAAAGAGGCTTTGGGGTGTGACTCTCTTTAGAGGACAGCAGAGCAAGGCAGCGGAGGGACAGGGGAGAGGGAGAGGTCGGGGGGACGAGGTGCCATCGTCCACCCCGAGGAAGACAGTCCCGCAGGCGTGCAGCGGTTGATGGACGATGAAGTTGTCAGGATGTTAATTTCAAGGGCAGGTTGGTTTCCGGAGAGCAGGGTTTGAGGGGGAATTTTTGTTTTTATTTATTTATGTTTTTTTTGTTTGTTTGTTTCAAGCAACAACAGGAAGCAGAAGAACCGTGCAGTCAGTTGGCAAAGAAATTCCGGATCAGGGCAAGAAAAAAAATTGGGAAAGGGGAAGGGGAGAAAAGAAAAAAAAGTAGCAAAAAACACAGGTCAGTAAATACATAAGGAAACAAGGCAGTGTTCCAGTCACACTCCACACACACACAAACACACACACACGCACGCAAGTTAACAGCTCTACCTCGTGGACACACAGCTAGAAGGAGTGCGGCTCGGGTGGCGCAGGGGACTGGCAGTCTCTCCCCAGCTGCCACTGCACCACGGCCCTGCGATGGACACAGGCTGGTCTCTGTGCTGCGCGACAGCGGGTTAGTTCATGGCTCCTGCGTGACTTAGCTCGGCGCGGCTGGCAGCCCCTCCAGGCTGAGACTCAGGCTGCCTGCCCCAGCCCAGGAAAGCTGCAGGCAGGAACAGCAGGAACCTGCACTGATCCAGCGCCAGTCCCATTCGGAAGGAGGAAGTCCAGCCTTACCCTCACCCAAGCTCTCCAGAGCAGCAAACAGTCCTGACAAACACACAGTCACACGTACGTGACAGACACCTATATCTGGTCTGGGCCTGACCTCCAACAGCCCGAGGGGCTCCCCCAGTTCATCTAGACTGTTCTAAGTACCAAAGCGTCTCCACTCTGAACGTTATGGAATTGAAATAAAAGAGTAGGGAAACAGGAAACTCAGAGCATCTTGGGAAAAAGGCGAGCGTGAGCCAGTCTCGACACGGAGCAGACCACCAGCGTACAGGCGCAGCTGCTGGGTCTTCAGACCCTGGGAGACCTGGGCCCCTCCTGCTGGGCGGCCCCACTGAGACCCACACCTGGCCCGACTCGCCCCACATGGCCCTGGGACCCACATACCTCCGGGTTGAGGTTGCTGACCAGCAGGACAGAGTTCCCGGCCCCCCCGAGGCCTGGGATGCCGATGCGGCCCGCTGCAGCTGCTGCTGCAGCTGCTGAGGGAATGGCCAGGGGCGCCAGCGCTCCGTGCACGTTGGGGACAGACAAGCCTGGAAGGAAGGGTGGTCAGGAGTGAGCAAATGGTGTGACCCCACCAACGCGATGGTGCAGACACCCATCATGCACACAGGGCCACAGGAGGTGGCAGCCCACTCTGGCCCTACGTGAGGCTGCTCAGCCTCTCAGGACCCAGGCACAGCCTCACAGGTAGGAGCTTGGCCAGGCCAGTGCACCACACCCGTCTCCTCACAGCACCCAAAGGTGCCAGGTGTGGGCCCGTCTACATGCGCTGAACAGCACAAAAGCTCCTGCCTGCCAACGCAGACACGGCCCCTCCGCAAGCAGGGCCTGCCACAGGACGCCGCGGCAGCGGGCATGCGCGCCCATTCCTCCATGCAGACATGGCGCGGCGCGGCCGGCACCAACGGCACAGGTGGCCAGCGGCTGCACACGGTGCCGGCGCTGCCACTGGCGCATGCTCCTCAGCCTCAGCTCAGCGGCCATTTGCTTACCAGGCCACTCAATTCAATCTACGAGGGACACATCCCTCCACACACTGCGTCCTCGTCCTCGCCCCGGTGCTTGAAGGGAACCAGACCAAAGACTGCGCGGTTAGCGGCTCCTCTCCAACACCAGTGCCTGACATTCAGGCTCGTAGCCCTGCCCTGTCTACCGCCTGCCCTGTCCAAGCCCTGTGTGGGAGCAGCTGCCCCTGTGGCTCCCTTCCCCTCTCCCAGGAAGGGGCCCCGTGGCTTG